TCAATTAATTATTTAAAAGTTATTTGATAGATGGTTGTTGGATATTTATATTTTTACATGTTTGATATAATCATTTGATTGTTCAATATTGAAGCAATCAATATTCACTCAAATAACCAAATCTGTATTGCAATATGAAGTTTGCTAAGTTTTTTTGCACTTCAACATGTCTTTATGAAAAAATTATGAAAGTGTAGAAAAAATAACTAAAATCAAATATACAAAAATCATATTACTGAGACTTCAAAATAAAACTCATGATTTTATTGGTTAGTAAGAAAAAAAAGAAAAAAGAAAAAAACAAGTATTACTTACTTCTTTATTAAACTGGTTTTCTTTTGTAAGCACACCAGATTTATTATTTTCAGACAACTTGGGAAAATTATCTTTTAGCACCTTTAACCATGATGTATATTAATTTTTGCAACTGAACAAAAATCATGTTAGTTGTTATTTTGAATTAAAGGTGAAGTCAACAATTGCAATTAAATTTTAAATAAATATGAACACAAAATGCTCAAAAGATGCAACACAAACTCAAAACATTTATTATGCTTCCATCAAACTCAATATAAAGAAGATAAATTCTACTTCACAATCATAATTAAAGTCACATTATTAGTTTCTCAAACAATCAAATTGAAGCTCAAATAGTAATTCACACCGACTTACACCAAATTTTTGCACATTACATCGACTACAAATAAATTCCAGAAAACCCAATGTATGTCAAAATAACACAAAGTTTAAAAAGATGGTCTTAATCCATAATTGAGTCTCAACATCCAAGACCCAAATCCACGTCCCGAAAGCCACATCCCCGTGCGAGGTGCGAGATCCGGTTGGGAAATTTGGGGACGAACATGTTCCGTCTCCAATTGGGATTGTGTGTGGCGACTCGTCGCCGTTCTCTTGAATCGGATATTGTTCCACTGCCTTGTAGGGATGACTAGATCCTCTGCCCCCTGATGCGGTGTGAAAAGGGTCAAATGAACGGGAACCCTAGTAGATTTAGGGCATGGATTCGAAGGGTCCTTATTTGTCGTTGGGGCTGTGTTTTTTTTGTCCTATTGTTAGGGCCAACATATGCTTCAAAGGTCCATTCCCGAGGATCAAAAGATGCTTGCACTCAGGTTCACTTGCTCAATATGCACAGAATTTTGGGTCATTTAGTATTATTCATCTGTGCTTCTTTTCTTCTTTTAAGAATGAGAAAAAAGATGGATGTGAACTTAGGGGAATTGTGTTTTACAATGTTTAGTGTGTCATCTTGGATGGGCAATGACACATATTCGGAGGCAAAGACATGGATATGAAAGAGGTGAAAGAAGAGATTTAGGGGAGTTTTCATTAGAAAATTGCATGCTTTTGTAATGATATAATATGAACCATGTTAAATTCTCATCTAATAGATGGGCTTCCAAATACCTCACCCTCAGTTGCAATTATTTAAACTCTAAAAACAGTTTTAAAATGGTCAGCCCACTTCTTCACCCCAAAATAATAACAATAATAATGGTAATTAACCAGTACATTCTCTTCCATTCCATCAGAGCAGGAATTGATTTAGCAGTCTATTATACAATGCATGTCATGAGCAAACAATCAAGCCACAACTGGACTTGATGGCTCAAGTTTACTCTTCATGGTTGACAAATGGATAAAGTCAGGAAATAAGTATGATTAGGGTTTTTCATAGAGCCTTGATTAGGAAGAAGTTGCCCTGTGCCAATGCAAATGCTCTGGCACAATTGTACTAAAACCATGTCAGGATAAGCCTAGCCAATGTTTAATGCATCATGATCTACACAATTGACATGACTTATTGCACTCAGGTTTTTCTACTACATAATACACTCTATTTTCAGCCACCATCAATCATGGGCAAAAAATTTTCTCTCACCAAAGACCACGAAAAGAACAACTGACATGACATGGGAGTGCTTGTCTGCTCCAGAAGCAATCCTAACTTCATTTACGTGTACTTTGATGAGAGGTATTGGAGAAGCCACTTGACAACATATATAATAACAATATAAAAATATGAGAAAAAAAGCATTGGGCTCCCCATGTCACTGTCTGCTAGGACATTCCACCATGTGTTCCGTTAATGGCATCAACTTTGTGGACTTGGGTCATTGCATTGAATACTGTTATGTGGGGGGAGTGTGCACAGGTCATACTCCTGGGTTAGGATATGTTTTGATGTGGCATACCAATGTGTCCAATTGGGCATGTGAGGTGGTCCCAGGTGGACAATTGTGAAAGCTACCAATCAACGTCTAAAGCAAAGAGAGCATGGATTCTCTCAATGCACCAACCAAAGCCAATCCTACATGCCTCTCCCACCCCTTATTCCCTAGTACCTCAACCAAGTCATCCTTTTTGTTTCCCTTGAGCAAAAGTCAAATGAGACATTCTATGTGTACAATGCCAACACTAAACTAAAATAATTAAATTGGAATTGTTTTGGAAACATGAACATTGTATGTCTTTAGGGTAGTTTTGTTGCTATTAGCATATATGGGGGTGTGTGTGTGTGTGTGTATGTATATGTAAGTGCACACATGCAAGGGTTTTTTTGTTAAAAAAAACTTAGAAAATTAAAAGATAAAATAAGAGATGAATGAAATATTAAAGTTATATGTTATATGGATGCCATAAATGTGTTTTTGAATGGGTTGAAAATGCCCTTGGAATGACCTCCCTCTAATAGTTGTTTTGTTTAAAGTGTATTTGAAGATAATTGTTACTGTATTCTTTGAAATTGGAAAGATGAGGAACATTGTTCATCCATAACATTAAATATCATGGGTTTTCAACCATGAAACAATATATAAATATAAATATATATATAAAAGCCGTGTTAACACAATACAAAAAGCAAGCGTGGGTAAACGCTCCGAAGGCCACTTCACAACCATTCCAAACTCCTCCACACAATTCAATCAGAAAAAACCACCAAAAGCAAAGAAAAAGAAAAAAAACGTAGAAAGAGAAAGAATCAATCCGAGAAAGAAAAAGTGGGGAAAAGTAAAAGAATGAAAAGGAAAGGCCCCAATGCTATGTATGTAACGAAGGCATAGATAGGAGGTTTGAAAGGGACGTCCGTAGATGCGCGGGGGCGCCCGAACCGGGGGGGGGGGGGGGGATGCCTCGGAGGCAGCTCACCGTCGGGCACAACGGGAAACGGAACCGGATGCAGACTGAGAGGCGAAGACAATTCTTCTTCCGTCTCGTGTAGTTGTTGTGGTGGTTGCAGCAGCATCAGCAGTAGCAGTTGCAGCACAAGTACAACTGTATTCTGGCGCTGGTGTGACGAGCTTCCATGAAGCGCCACTTCGTCTTCTTCTTCTTCCCTCGAATGGCCGTTGCGCACTCAGTCAACCTTTTTCCCTTCTGCATTCCAATCCATTTCCTGTGTTAGGTCCTCGTGTGCTTCCATCGTCTTCCATTACCCAGCCTTGTCCATTCCATTTCTGATTTCGTTTCTCCGTTTCGTTCCGTTTCGTACTGTTTCTGCTTGGGCGCTTGCCCTGGTCGATCTCGACGTGTAGTACTATCCACGCCTCGCTTGTCAACTCTTTGAGAAAAAAGCCCCTCTCTCGCTCCGTCCCCTCTCTATCGTTTCCGGTCTATTTTATTCCGCTCCAGTCGTCTCCCGGAACTGCTTTTTCGTCGATCGTCGTCTCAGGTGGGACGCCAGACCCGACCGTGTGCTTGGTTGCCGGCTTGTCGTTGCTGACACGCATATTTAGTTTCCCTCCTCTTCTTCCTCCTATTCCTCCTCTCGGACTGCGCAGTCGCTTTCGTGGGCATTCTAGATATACATCATAATTTTTGGAAGCTCATCGTTGGTTTTCGCATCTTTCCCTGTCCTTTGCGCTTGTGTCGCCTTTCCGGATTTATGTAATGAATGCATCCAAAGATGGATCTCTCTGCGCATATCGTGCAGTGTTGGGTTTCTTGATGTGCTTTTAGATAAGCGAACAAATAGTCAGCGTGTGCTAGGGGATGCTACTCGTGCAAAGGGTTTTTTATTTTTATTTTTATTGTATCGGCTTTAAAAAAATTGTTACGTTTTCCGAATCACCGTCCAATTTGCGGAGCTGAGCGTCCTTCACGAGCCGTCTTTCCTTTCGTATCGTCAATCTCATCTGAAGTTATTTCGGAGGAGCGGGATTTATGTGTGCGCACCCGTCTTGGCAAGAGTAGATGATGGATGTCAGTGGAAAGCAGAGAATGGCAGTTTGAAAAGCTGAGCGGCAGATTTTGATGTTTCACAGGTGAATGAAACTCTCGTGTAGAGTAGCACGCGACAGTTCGCAGGAAAGACAGGGAATCCTTTGAGTTGGCAAAGTATGTTGTTCTTGTGAACTCGGAACCTTCGATTTGCACCTGGGTTTACCAAAATCCCTAGAGGAGATTACCTCCTTAGAATCTGGCATCGATTCGAAGGATCCGATTTTGTATTCCGTTGAATCATTTTAATTTAGGGTGTATTCTCAAGGTCACGGTTTCGAACTGAAAGGCGATCTCTACAGTTATTTCAGCGGTTGCTTCTGCATCCTGAAGATACAGGATGATTCTTTGCATACGGTAGTGAATGGCAAGTGGAGGGGCCGTGGATTTAAGAGAGTGGAAGCTTGCGAGGCAAGAAGCGGCGCTGAAGGAGAAGGAGACGGAGGCAAAGAAAGTGGCATGGACCAACTTCCCCAAGGACCTGATGATTTAAGGATTTGTGGAACCAAAACCCGCTACATGTGTTCTGAACAGAGTGCTCATTGACCTCTGGATTGCAACAATGCAATAACCATTGTGGATCCACCTCTCCCAAGAAAATACAGTTGCTCATAAATCCGATTGCAGCCAACTGGGTAAGGATGGGTGGAGCGGTGCAGCTTCAAACGAGGTAGCACAGAATTTCACTCACAACATCACTTGGTTAGTGACCAGGGCGTCAAAGTACATCATCGTCCCAGGAAAGATGTGACCAAGAGTTAAGACAACATCAGAGTTAATTCATCCTTTCATCAATTCAATCCTAGCAGGGGCTCTACTAACTTCGAAGCAGAGGGGGCTTGAACGTTTCCAGTAACTCCACCTCCCATTTCCTCCCTGAAACCAGCAGAACTCAACCTCCCTACAAAACCATCTCCCTGTCTTTCACAATGACCAATCCGATGCCCTAAGGTCTTAAAGTAAGACACAGTACTTCCCTTCCGCCCATCATGGACTACGACTGACCGCCAATCCGCACTATCGATTTTCAACGCCTCGCAAGCTAATCCACAATACCTGAAAAACGTGGTCGATATCAGGCAGAAGGTGTAATGATCCAGAATTACTGACGCAGACCCAAAAATTCAACATCCTTACTTCAATTCCCTTCACAAGCTAAAGGACTGAGAACTAAGACGACGAGCTGATCGTCTCACAAACCGAAAACTCGTTCTATTTGCCTACTCTCACAAATTAACAACGTCAGCATGTAGAATCACCATACAAGTGCGTCGGCGGGGAGAAATCGGCCGCGGCAGTCGCAAACAAATCAATCCGAGAAATGCTTGAGAGATTGCAGAGAATGCGAAGAAAAGGAACTGCGGAAAGTTCCCGCCACGTTGTGGCGCCAATTTTCGAATACTCATTACTCCCGCCACCACAGGCCTCCCAACCAACGGTCGGATCCTGATGCTTTCTGCCGACCTCCGGTAGCCCACCCGCCTTATCTGCGACTCTCCATTCTTAAACCCTTTCTCGGCCCTCTCCGATGTTGTAACGGCTGCTTGGTATACACTCCCTCGTGCGCTGCTAATCTCGAGTTCGTTCAGTCCAGGGAGCTGCGGTTGAGAGCTGCGATTGCCATTGTAGTTTTGGGTTCATCGAGCTTAATTGCACTGCCTGAAGAGCGACGTCTAACATAGGGGCTGAGTGAGTCCTCCAGGTTTGAAAGGTTCAAACTCTGTGACCCGCATGTGTATCTTCTGAGAAGTCGGCGGCAGGGTGTTTCGCCGTCATCAGGTATGGAGCATTGCGTTAAGCGCTGGATTAGTCGGTGTCCTTGTTAAGTATGTTAATGGGTGGGATGAAGTGTGTGGCGCTTCTCGTAATTAGGGTTTATCTGTCGGCTGATAATTGGAATGTGACCACCTGACATGAAAGATATCTTTGGACTGAGCCCCTGCCTCTTCCTGGACGGCGTGACGTCCCGTCCTGATTTGGCCGCCGTGTTTTTACCTTCAATGATTGCTCTGGTGAATCAGGGGCTGCGCACTTCTTTATGTGATTCGTTCTAGATTTGTGTGCGAACGATCTCCTGCCTTAAATTAAGTTTGTACTGTCCTTGGTTTCGTACATCTTGCCGCAGGTGGGCGAGAGTTTGGCGAAGTCGCGATTGAAATAGTTTGGTCTCCCGCTCTTTTGTTCGCTGGAAAAGAAGTTTCTGGTAGCGTGACATTCCTTTGCTCCTTGACGTAACTGCAATTCAAATATGCCTTGCTCGGATTGTAGATAATGGATCCTACGTTTCTTATGAACGAATGCATTGTCGGCAGGCTTTAGTGTGTTCTCGAAACCTTACTGTGTGGTTGCTGTGGCATGCTCGTTAGACTCATATTGCCCTCTGTTCACTTTTCAGGTATTTTGTCATGGCTCCATGCATTCCTGGTTCTGCCACAAGCGAGTTATCCGAGCAGCTTCAAGGCACTAGGTGCCGCCAATCCCTGATTTCTTAAGATCGGTCTTTCTTGATATTGTGCTGTAATCGACAGTGTTTTTCCTGCATAGTTCGATTACAAGCATCAGCTCTACGTTAATTGAGATCTTAAATCTAAGTATCCCACGATGGGTTACATGACATGTTGGCATTGGTTGATTCCAGCTTGAGATTTAGTTCCGTCCATTATGGTGGCCGTCTAGAGTTCAAGATTGTATCTTGTGCGCCTGCTTGGAGGGACCTGTAGTGCAGTTTGCCTGGCTTTGATGTGACTGAGGCTTTTGTCAAACAATGAATGTGAATTTGATCATCATTTCCTTCACTGCGCAGAGAGAAAATGCCTTCTGTGTATATGGAGCAGGAGCCAATCTTGGCTGAAAATCCGGGTCGATTCTGCATGTTTCCCATTAAATACCCACAAGTATGGGAGATGTATAAAAAGGCTGAAGCTTCATTTTGGACAGGTCTCTTTACATTTTTTTTAAATTTCAGGTTCTGTGGTCCAAGATACCAATTCGACTGAAAGTTATATTTCGAATAATTCATGTATTATGTTTCGTAGTAAATGTCATGCATTGGGGTCTATTACATAAGGATTTCTTTTTAATGAGGCCTACATTTGACGAGATTGTTGAAACTGATTCGTAGCTTGAATGCAGCTGAGGAGGTTGATCTATCAGCAGACTTGAAGCACTGGGAAGCTTTGACCGACAACGAACGTCACTTCATCAGTCACGTGTTGGCTTTCTTCGCAGCGTCTGATGGTATCGTGCTTGAGAACCTGGCCGTGCGCTTCATGAAAGAGATTCAAATACCCGAGGTTAGGACCACAACCCACTCTGCTTTCACTCTCTTGAATGCCTGATTTGATTCCGAACTTGAAATCATATTATATGCTGTTGCTGAAACTAGATTTTAATCCATTTTTCGAGTGCAGGCCAGAGCATTCTATGGGTTTCAGATTGCGATTGAAAATATCCACTCAGAAATGTACAGCTTGCTGTTGGAGGCGTACATAAAGGATCAGTCTGAGAAGCATAGACTTTTCAATGCGATTGAGACTATCCCGTGCGTCACTAGGAAAGCCGAATGGGCTCTCAAATGGATTGACAGGTAAGAACTTGCGGTTCGGCACCTTCTTCTTGGATGGATTTTAGATTGTGTTTTTGAAGGCGCCCATCAAGTACAAGAACTATAGAAAATTGCAATTGCATCTCTTTCAGCGTTTGACTCAGTTCTTCTTCTTGACCTGATGGCGATTGCCGTGCAGCTCTGGGAGCTTCGCAGAGAGAATTCTAGCCTTCGCTTGCGTGGAAGGAATTTTCTTCTCCGGAAGGTTAGAATGCACATCCATCACTCATTGTGTTTGACATGTATTTCCTACTGTGATTGCGGTGTGGATGAGCTGCGAGCTTAAGTATTTCTCATTTAGTGTTCTGGATTGCAGTTTCTGTTCCATATTCTGGCTGAAAAAGAGGGGCCTCATGCCAGGGCTTACTTTCTCCAACGAGCTTATTTCACGAGATGAGGGTCTACACTGCGATTTCGCATGTCTCCTATACACGTATGTTCTAAGGCGTTACAATCACTGAACTTGTAGCTACTGTGTTTCTGAAGTTTTGGCTTGTCTATAGAGCAATGACCATGGCAAGGTGTTGTTAAAACCTCGGTGTTTGTTTAATGTGTCAGCTTGCTCAATAACAAGCTGTCCGAGGATAGAGTCCATGAGATAGTTTGCGAAGCTGTGGACATTGAACGGGAATTCGTCTGTGAAGCCCTTTCCTGTGACCTTGTGGGCATGAACAAGATCATGATGAGTGAGTACATTGATTTCGTGGCGGATCGGTTACTGGTACGTACATCCATTCCACTCTTATTTGTTGTCTTTCGTGACCAAGCTAACTTTCCATCCACTTGTTATTATGTAACCTCTCCACATGGTAAATTGACCTCGTCTGTCGTGCAGGTATCACTTGGTTACAACAAAAGATACAATGCCCGCAATCCTTTCGATTGGATGGAACTCATCTCCTTACAGTAAGTTTGTCACGAAACCATTTCTACTTGCGCTAGCTTTCAACATGTTTCTTCATTCTGCATATCTTGAGCACGTATTACAAGACATTTCTAACACGATACTTGTGCTTTATATGCAGAGGTAAAACCAACTTTTTTGAGAAACGGGTGGGAGAGTACCAGAAGGCCTCAGTGATGTCCCACTTAAACGGCGGTGACAACCACGTGTTCAGATTAGATGAAGACTTTTAGATTACCACGGACATTTTGACCTTGCACAGAGCTAGCCTCGTGCTGATCATCTCGTTGGAATGATCCACCGTTTTGTACAATATGAACATTCTTTGACCATTACATACCAGTCTTTAGCGTAAAATCTCTAAGACCAATGCCGCTCGTGTAACGTCCGTGAATTTCGTACATGAGGAATTGAGGGATCCCATCATCTAAAGTATGCTCTAACCTTGTTAGAGATATAATTAACATCATCTGGATTACAAATTTTCCTCTCTCCTCTTGTCCCTCTCTCACTCCCTTTACTCGTATCTAATACATTATTTTGAATCTGATTGTAAAACCTGAAATTTTGGGTACTCTGGGCACGAAAACTGGTTTGGTTCATATAGTTTTAACTAAAACTAGATCTATTAAAAACGAAATGATTGAAATTCATAGCAACGATCTGCTACGTCTTCTAAAGTAGAGAATGACTCAGATTTCAATGTGCAAATTCTCTACACCGTTCACAAGCCCAGCGATGTATTCAGCAACTTTCATAACCCTAAATGCCTAGAGGAAGCGTAGAGAACTGCTTGAGCAGGTGGAAATGTGCCTCTTTTCAGGAATGTTATAATTATCACCATGGAATTCAATGTGATTATGAAATTCATATCGAAATTCCCTTACTGGGTATGCTGCATTTTTCTATCTTTTTATTTTCATCTTCTAATTTATTGAAACATAGCATAAATTTTTTTAGCATAGACAATTTGTGGAAAGACAATTGGATATATACACTAAATGTATGTATATATATATATATATATATAATTTTTATTACATGATGATGATGGTCTGTTTTCCAGGAATTTCTAATTTCAACTAAGTCGTTACACTGAAGCTGCTCATAATTTAAACCATTTCTGAATGCTTTTAAACATATTATTATTAATTAAAACCTTCGAGAAAGATGATATTTGAAAATTTAGAGCATGAATTGTTACGGTTGTATCTTCGGATGTATTCATTACTTAGTTTTTTTAATATTGTGGGTGCTTATTTGTAATAACATACATATATACATGCCAACATACACACCTCTACATAGATTTTATTCACGATAAAATGCAACGCAACAAATCTTAGGTGTCATTTTATGGCCCCCATTTGTACATGAGGTTTTCATATTTTACTTTAAATTATATACTTTTGAAATTGGACATTGACGAATAATAATAGTAATAAAGTGCAATCTTTTCTGTTTTTATTATTCAAAAAAATAATTTTACCAAGGTTAATAAAGACAACAAAAATTGAAGGTTGATAAATATGGACCCATAAAATACAAATAGATAAAGGTTCATCAAAATTTGGTATCAAAGTAATAAAATTTTAAATCATTATTATTTAAAATAAAAAAACTAGTTGATTTTTTTCGTGGGGGTGTAAATAACGGGATGTGTGACATAGGACATGTCTATGCAACAAAAGGAGGTGTCCACCTAACACTTCTCCACATAAAACATTTTTTTAAAATTAATTATCAATAACAATGATAATTTCAAATATTTTTCTGAAAGTAAGCTAAACAAGCAATAAACATGATTTGGTGAATATACATGTTCTTGTTGTCGCTTGATGAATTATAATCTTGTCAAATTAATACATTTCTAACATGTAAAAATCAATTTTAGTAACAAACTCAAAGGTATCATGATTTGCATGTGTAAGAATAAAAGGTATTATATGTGATGTTGACTGTATTAACACAACAATGTTTTAATTTACATCTTGCATATTATATATTTTTAAATAAAATATAAGATTCTCACTTTAAACTCTGTGAATTTCAATTGAATATTTGTTTCTAGAAGGCTTTAATATGATGTTGTAATGCTATAAAAATATACAAACACAACTTTGTTTGCACATAATGTTTGTTTTTATAATTCACCATGCATTACTCATAAACATTACGCACTTACATAAATTAGTATGAAAATAATTAGTTTCGATATGAATTATTTTACTTACTTTATTTAGTTTTTAAAAAACTAATGAATTTTAAGCCAGAAAATTTTGCAAGGATACTAGAGACATACATCATAAAAAATGCATAGATTTTCTTGCATCCGAGAGAATACATGTTGATAAAAAAAAACAAAAAAAAAAAAAAAAACAAAACAAAACAAATAAATAAATAAATCTAAATAATACTTTGAATCATATTAACATACTCCACCTTCACTTTCTAAATACCATGATAAAAACAACTTTTGATTTGTTTTCTGCATTCAAAAAATAACTATTATGGTCTGCAGCATGTGTTTTGTCACACAATTAAAAAGTAATTAAGATATTACCACTTCAAGGTTTTATTTCTTTTGAGAAGTGTTGTAATTTTCCACATCCATAAGTATTTATAAATGTTAATAAGCAACCCAATTCGCCTTAAAGTTTATATATTTGTACTGATTCTATTCCAAGGCTCACAATGTGCACCTCTATCCTGAAGATCTAAAACCCAATTCGACACCTTAAAAAACAAAAGAATAGAAGGAAAAAAAAAAAAAAAAAAACAATTGGCAACAGGTAGCAACCGCTCGGCATTGAACAAACTCCTTTAAAGTTAAAGTAGAAGAGCAACATGTGCGGTTTTCTGTATTAGGGTTTAGGGTTTAGGGCTTCGCGCTGTAGTTTGAGCGGGATGGAGTGAACGCATTACCGTAGCACGATTGTAGTTATAGTTTTTTTTTTTTTAAAATGTTTTATCGTTTATTCGATGTTTTGCAAGGAACTTTGAGTTTAGTGCAGGTGGGTTTTGCAAATTTCTCTAAGCTAGCTGCGGTGTACAATGCGGAATGTGAAGAAGGCCAAGCATGGGCCTACTGGTCCTCTGTCTGCAGAAACTCCACCAAACGATGTGGAGTCCGAGGGAGAGAGTGAAGAGGAGGAGGAGGAGGTAGAGGAGGGCATGGAGGGGGAAATGGAAGGGGACAACGAAGAGGACGATGGATCGATGAGCATAGAAGAAGAGTGTGATCCGGAGGCTTTGAAGTACATCAAGCTGTTTAAGATGGAAGTTGTCGAAGATCCGAGAGAAGCTTGTGAAGCCAAGGGACTGGATATGGCGAAGGATTTAAGTGCGGGAGCACCGCAAAGGTTCTTAGAATGGGCCATCAGTCCCATAAAACTGGACAGGTTCCAGGGTGAGTTTTGGGAGAAGAAGCCGTTTCTCGTTCGACGGCCGAAAAATAGGAATTATTATGCGGGGATTTTCGACAAAGCCACAATTGAGAAGCTTCTGGAAGAACACGAATTGAAGTATGTGCTGCCTCTAAAAGCTTGATAATGTTTGTCTACCCTTTGAGTTCTTTTTTATTTGAAGTGTTGTGTTGTTGTTGTTGTTGTTGTTTTATTTTATTTTATATCTGCTGGAACAAGTAGGAAGTAGGTTTTCGTTAAGATTGTTTGAAGTGGGATCCGAGGTCATTGTCTTTACGAGCCTGTTGGATGTCGATGTGATTTTGTTGCACATGAATCTGCAACCTATGGTTATGTTTTTTCACGTAATGAATAGCCCTGTTTGTTTTTGTTTTTGATCTTTTTTGTTCAGATATGGTCTCAATATAGACGTGACAAAGTATGATATAGACGGTGGCCGATCGACTTTCTCCTCTGAAGGAAGTGCCACGCCATCCAAAGTATGGTCCAAATATGCTGATGGATGGTCAGTACGAATCCTCCATCCACAGAGATGGTGTGACCCTGTCTTCTTGATCCTTTCTGCATTTGAGAGGTTCTGGGGTTCCGTGGCTGGCTGCAATGCATACCTGACTCCTGCTGGGTCGCAAGGATTTAGTCCACACTACGATGATATTGAGGCTTTTGTGATACAGACCGAAGGTAGGAAACGGTGGAAAGTGTACAAGCCCCGAACACCGGGTGAAGCACTTCCCAGATTCTCTAGCCCTAATTTTGAACAGGGTGAAATCGGGGAGCCTATCCTGGACGTGGACCTGGAACCTGGAGATATCTTGTAAGTTGCTTCTTCATCTGGACTAGCTACCTTCTTATCCCTGCAAGCTTACGAACTGTCCTCTATGTAGACTTTGTCCAATGGTGACTTGGAATGCGTTCTTATCAAGCCTTGGACATTGTTGTAGGTACATGCCCAGGGGCACTATTCATCAAGCTAAGGCTTCAGAAGATGCACACTCCCTCCACATCACTGTCTCAGTGGGGCAGCGCAACTGCTGGGGGGATTTTCTAGAGTTCGCCATGCCTAGAGCTCTGGAGCTTGCAAGCGAGGACCACATTCTACTTCGAGAAAGTCTCCCTCGCGGGTACGCTGATTACATGGGCGTTGCACATTCCGATGATCACGATAATCCTCAAAGAGCAGCATTTATAGATAAGATTATGGAGTGCATGGCAATTGTGTCGCAAAGCATACCATGGGACTCTGCAGCAGACCAACTTGCGGTCAAATTCCTGCAGTCCAGGCTACCGTTGCCTGCACCGGCAAACGCAGTCCACGGGAAAGGCCAGAAGATCACCGGAAAGTCAAGGGTGAGGCTCGTGGCTCCTGACGTTGCAAGGTTGGTGTTAGAAGGTGACTCGGTTGTTGTGTACCACATGTTGAAGAATTCCAGAGATTTGCACAACGAGGGTGACACTGAAGAAAATGAGGACTCTGATGCTGATAAGAGGTTGGTGTTCACCTGGGAGGTGGCTCCTGTTCTTGAAGAACTTCTGTCGGCATTCCCAGACCCTGTTGATGTGTCCTCTCTCTCGGTTCCGGAGGATGAGAGTATCCCTCTTATCTCAGAGTTGTGTGACATTGGTATCCTCTTAAGAGTTTGACAATCTGGCAATTGAAGGAAACACTGATATGAAGTTAATCAAAGCTTAGTCTAAGGGCATCGTTGATCGATTGTTAGTGGCATCAACCACGTTCCTTTCCCTGAGTAGCAGTGTAGAGATTGTACTCGTATTGTATTTATTTGCTTGGAGTAGTTTCAAAAGGTTACTGGGTAGCTGAAAGTGAGAGCTGGTTTACAGTTGAGTTGTCATGTGAATTTTATTACAGAATTAAATGAAATCTCCTCGGATTCTGGTCAATGTACTTAGACATTATATTGTATGAACCCAACTTGTATCAGGTGCATGGTGAATTGTGGTCTCAACGCAGCACCTCTCAACCCAACGGAGGATCTCAGTGTACTAAAACTCAAGATTTTATTAAACCATACCTTCAAATCACTTGTAAGGGTTTTCAAGTTCTAAAATAACGCATACATCTTGTGTGAGAGCTGGCCCTAGGAATATAGGCGAACTTAAAAAGTAGTACAAAAACTTGTATTTTGACAAGATATCTCAATAGATATTAAGCATCAAAAGATGTTCTCAGATGTCTCTTTTCTTAAGTTACATAGTTCGTAACTTCAATTTCAACAAAAATGATTAAATTTTAATTCGAATTAGTATTTTTATGTACATTATTTAATAAAAAACTTATTTTTATTTTAAAATTATATATATATATATATATATATATATATATATATGCATATACAAACACATACATATTATTGAAAGAAATTGTACTTTGTAATTTAGAATTAACAAACTGTGTGGGTGCCATGTGGTGGCAGTAGAAAAATTGTGGTGTCTTTAACAATACCCTAAACAAAATGATAGTAATTTTTAACAGCTAATTTTTTCTTATTATTTCATAAGAAGAGTTTTAAAAAGGTACAATGAAAAAAGAAAGTAAAGATAAAAACCATAAAATAAGAATGCCAACTGCAAATGTTTTTATTCCTTAGATGAACTAGTTACTATTCAATAGTTTGAATGACAAAATATTATTAGTTTTGAGCGACATTATACATGTCTACTTGTATGTATGTGTAACTCAGATTTGTTAGAAAAGATAGCAATTAAACTTGGACTATTTACCATGTATAAAATATTTAATTACTTACAATTTATTGGAGTTTTTCTTACATGTTGTATGCATTCTAAAATAAAGTAATAATTGACCTAGTTACAACATCACTAATTAACATATATATATATATATATATATATATATATAAGAATGTAAAATAAACCCAAGTTTTTATCAAATTGATCTACCCATAATGAAGAATATGGTAATCATAATGGATATGGTTGGTTTTTATTAGTTTTGGATGTAGCAGTGGAGAAATGTTTTGTTTTTATTAGTTTTAATAGAAATGATGTAGTGATTATGTTTAAACCCAACCAACATGTGTTTAACTTCAAGTCATTCTAATACTACAACCCTGGTCGTATACGTCGGCTCTTATTAAACGTACAAATACATACAAATACGACCCAAATACACAATAGAAATCACGAGAATACGGTATGACATGTGGACTAATTGAGATAGTCCACATGTCGACAATGCGCGGAGAAGGGATAAGCGAGGAGGTTGCGGAGAGCACCCGCGAGGGCCCCATTCCATGTTCCCAAGCAAGGTCCGCTTCCCAGCCGAAGAGCTTCGCCATCGCTTCTCGTAATCGGCTTCCGAAGTCATGTCAAGAGTGGTCGCCTCTCCCAATCGCGCTGAGCGGCCCTGATCTCCAGCCCTTCCCACACCTCGCCTCGTGCTTGATCTTTGCCGTTACGATAGCTGCAGTTTGCGACATTTCTCGCCCGTTTTGGTGGAGAATTGCGAATGTAAGAGGCGGGGAATTGTCCGGTATCGTCGTCTTCGAGAACAGTCGTCATTGTTTTTTCTTCGGGGTGAGTGCTTCTCGAATTGCCCTATCTCGGGACGTTCTCTTGTCGTTTGGTTGAGCAATTGGAGGCGATTTTTTCGTTTGCATTCTCTTCCTATTGCGTAGTTGCATGGTTATTGTTCGAGGAGTCCTCACGAGCTGTTTGCAGAATTCTAATATTCTCCGTGTCCTTATTTTTCATGGTGTGTTGAGGACGAAATTTTAGTCTACGTGCATTTATTCCATGGTTTTATATCACCTTGCGCGGAGGAGTTGAATGTTTGGAATATTTGTTACGGCACAGCAATCGCACTGGCATAATTGGAGTGATTTGTGAGATTGTAGTTGGTCTCAAAATTAAGTCAGATGTCTAGTGATTAGTTTTTAGAAGATTTGAGGACCTTAACTCTTGAACTTTGAACGTTGCACTTTTTAAAGTCCTTTCATGATCAAAAGTTTGCTGGTGGATTAATAGAGAGTACATCAATCAGAAATGAATTAATCATCCACGTTGTACGTTGCTTCTTCTCGGTAAAACTTATTTCCGCGAGGTGTTTTAAGTGCAGATTGGTTGTTTGTGCAGTCAGAGCAACCAAAATCTTCGCTTGGAGGTTCTCGTGTCTAATCCAAGAAATCTTTAGGATGGATTAATTCTTGGTTGGTCAGGGGAAGAGGCAGCTTTTGTGAAGTTTGAACTGTTGCAACCGCACAAATTCGACGTAATTGAGACAGTTGGCTATAATATGGAGATGACGTATGGATAGCTAAAAGGGTCTAATCAACGTAGGGTGAAGATTCAAGATGGGAAATTCTCGTTCATTTGGCGCCAGTGCAAATGTGCCCGAACACAATGGAGGGCAGCTTTTCGTGTCCCTTAAATTACACAAAACTGATGGCCAACCCATGCCACTTAATGCTGTTCCTCACGTCACAGGTTCAATGCCCATTGTGGGTTTATGGGATCCTGTCAAGGCTGTAAGTGTCTTCCTAACCTTTTTCCTGGTTGTTGTTATGCATGTTTGGTATATATTATAGAGTTCGTGAACAATGCTGCTGTGAACGGGGATGTAAACGCGTTGGCGCATTAAGAAAATTCGAGGTCTTTCTGTGTCAAAATTTCTTGCTGTTCTATGCGTTGCTTCAGTTATTGAGTTGCAAACCTGAAATCTGTTTCTCGGGAGTTTTCGTTCTCAATAGCGAGGGTCTCTCTCACCTGAGAGCTTCTAAAGATGTTAAGTTTGATTATCATAGCCTTCCTTATTTCGTTTTGAAGTTCTTTGCCTCAGGTTGGTATATTAAACATCCTTTGAGTAAGCAGTACAAATTGTTTCGTATGCGGGGCTCGATACTCTGATTAAAATGGCTTTTTTGATTTTTATTCCAACAGACGGCTATGGAGGGAGAATCGTCAACAGTTTGGGAATTAAGTTTTGTAGTGCCCTCTGATCATGGTATGTTGCATACTCATTTGCAAGCTTGTTCAGTGATATCCTTGGTCAGTGAGTGAACTGCCAGAGATTTTCACATGTTAACTCTATCCACAACACCTTTCTATTGGTTTAGTATAGTGGTGTTATGTATGTATACAGTGTCAGCTGACAGGTGAGTAAACACTGGTTTGGTGATGCTCTGAGCAGATACCCTGGAGTTTAAATTTGTTCTAAAGCCAGTGGACAATGAACGTGAGGGTGTCTTTGAAGAGGGTCCAAACCGGATTCTGAAAGCAGGTGTTATGTCTGGAGGCCCAGGGCCAATGGCTAAATTCCTCCTTCCAAGGGAATATGGTGTGGGCACACTTGAATTACCCGTCAGCGTCGCCACAGATTCTGTTTCCCCGTTTGCGCTTGCAGCCAGCTGGCGAGCACTAAAAAAGAACATTAAGCCATATGGAACCCGCGTTCTAGGCATTCCTGATGTATCACTTGATCAGGTTAGATTTCTACAATTTCATGTATACGAGTACCAAGAGATAGCTGGATTTGTTATTCATGATGAGTTCTGATGTTATTCGACTTTTGTAGGCTCCATATATACCAGTAATCTCGCATAGACTTACCCAAGATGTTGTAAAGTTGCAAGATTTCGGAGAGCAGGCAATACGGCTTAAATGCGTGGATTAAGAAGTCGGATGTACAGAAGTTTTCTTCGGTAGTTTTACTAATTTTCTTTGGTTTTAGAAATTGTGAATACCATGACTGTACTACATTAATTCTATTCGATCCTTTCAAGCTTTTACTTGGAGAGTAAGGGAACAGTTTAATTCCCGACTTTGAAATGGTAGGAAGCACTTATTCACAAGGAACTTGTTTATGGGAAGTCTGTTATTTCGAATAAAAAAGTTGCTCACGTTTGTCTACTTTTCTTCGCATGAATTCGTTCAAAGTTTGTCAGTTTTTTTCTTCAGGGTAACCCTTCACCGATTCCGCCTGATCACAGTGCGCAGCATGCGCTGGAGCTAGATATAGAGCATTATGAGGTACCTCCTCCAGGCAGTGTTTTCAAGCACAGTGTATATGCTGCTGATGCAACTGAGTTTCCTCGAGGAAACTTAGAACGTTCTGCTGCTGTGCCTGTGCCGTTCTATGGGGAGAGTCTCAAGTACAAGCGTCGGCAGGGTAACCCAACCCCGCTGTCCAAGAAAGAAAATAACACAGACCGAAGTGTCTCGGTGAAGGTACTGTTACTGTTGTTCTTATCTGACGGACGTACATTCTTTGATTACAGGTAGCGTAGAAGGATCTTGCCTTCGACAGTAGCCTTTGTGAACCTTGCTATGGTTAAATGTGTAGATTTTGCCAATTAGCAGGATGGATACAGTTTGATTACTTGCAGTTGTAATTTTCATGGAATTACCTCTCAAGAGTTTAGAATCTCAAGTGGTCTTGAGATTTGTTCTAGTTACTGAAATTACTATGTGTTCGCAGGACCTTGTGGCACTGGGAGATTCTGACGCTGTACCTGTGCAAGCAGCAGTTTCAGAGGGTGAATCAGCTTCTCGCGATCTGAAGACATCTTCAAAAGCTGTTGGAGGTCACTCGCCAAGGTTAATTGAGATCGGTAGCGACATGAGTCAGATTGAATCACAACTTAATGATTACGCTGAAACAGAAGAATCAGGAGGATCCAAAGTAAGAATCTTTAGGGGATCGTATTTAAAGTAAATCACAGAATCACCAACTACTCATATGTTGTCTTAGCAAGACTTGTTATGGTGTCATGGACTTGTTTTTCCTCCTGAGTATTCTATTTATCGTTCCGATAAACAATTTCACAAATTGCAACCTCTCAACTCATAAATTCTTTCAATTATTATTTGATCCGGATCTAGTTCTAGCGTACTGGAGGTAAATGGACAAAGTATGGTGGTTTTTGTCAGAGTATGCCAGAAGCGGCGGGGGCTGTTGCGGCGGCTGCTGTGGCAGATCGACTTTTGGGAGCAAAGGAGCGGCGCCAGCTTGCAATCGTCCTGGTGAGGTTGAATGAAGGGTACAGAACGTAGTTTTTTTTTGTTGCGGCCATGCTTGCAAATCAAATGGCAACTTTGTCTAATTCATCATATGGACATCGTTCACATTACGCTTGAATAGGGGCTTTATCAGCTAAGGAACTGTTAAATAGTGCTTTCCTAGTAGTGTATTGTTGAGCGTATAATGTGATTGTGGCCAAATTCACGCTGTTAAGCTACGCTGGGAGTTGAATGAGTCTCTGATGGTTTCAGGTTGGGTTACCGGCTCGTGGAAAGACATTCACTGCAGCTAAACTGACCAGATATTTGCGGTGGTTAGGTCATGACACCAAGCACTTCAATGTTGGCAAGGTATGTTTTTAGAAAACTTTGTACGCAGCTGGTGTCAATCTTCTCAACTTATTTCTTGTTTTGGTTGCATGATTTTGGGATGATTATATTTTGTGTACCCAATATCTAAGGTGCTCTTTCAGGTTTTAGCCTTAGAGTGCACACTTTTTGCAGTGGAGTATTTTGATGCGATTGTGCTTTTGATGTTTCACAGTATCGGCGGCTGCAGCTTGGTTGTAATCAGGTACAGATCTACTTTATAAACATCATTTTAGTGTTTGAATTTTTTCTGGGATGTTGCGTAGGTATCGAATTAAGCTCGTTCAGTGATTGACTAAACCTTGATTACCTGCATATCAGAGTGCAGATTTCTTCCGAGGTGATAATCAAGAGGGCATTGATGCTCGAAATGAGGTACGGAAAACTTCTTGATAGTCACTAAGCTACATACCGGTTATTGCTGTTTTTTCAAATTATTTGTATGCTTATTTTTGGTCGGAATCAGTTCAATAACAATCGAGTCTATAAGTATACCGCAGGTAATATCCTTAGGAAATAGCATTATTTCTTTTCATCTTTTACGATGTCGCGATATTTATTTAGATGGAGTTAATGTTTAGCTATCGATGAATTCGCTACGCAATAGCATCTAACTTTTTCTGGTGGGTTGGGGTGCAGGTGGCTGCTCTAGCAATGGAAGACATGCTTGCTTGGATGGAAGAAGGTGGTCAGGTATAATTCTCTACAATTTGACGAAGTCCTACAATCTCCAAGGAGTCAATATAAGTTTATTTAAATACAGCGGTGGGTCGAGTCCTTTTTAGTGATTATTAAGATACTGGGATGCTTTTTGCAGCAATCGATATGTACTGGCCTTTTAACGAGGTTCTTGAGAGCATAATCAGATTGTTGTGATGATTTGTGTTGTATAAGCAGGTGGGGGTGTTCGACGCTACCAACAGCACAAATGCACGTCGAAAAATGCTCATGAAATTGGCAGAAGGGAAATGCAAGGTAAGTTTATGGATTGTAAGTTATTTGATGCAGACTAACTAGCAGAAGTGTCCCAACCGCAAATAGGGTTGCGGAGGATGTTTTCCAGTACACATTTAGAATGCTTTATTTTCAAAGCTGGGACCTAAGAAACTTTTGAAAAGTATTAAAGCTAAAAAAGACTCTTATGTTTTTGACCTGTGTGAAGATCTTGTTATAAATGGCCTTTTTCATGGTATGTTCAGATAATTCAAAGTGTGAACAATGTGAAGATATCTGAACCATGTTCTCATTTCTACGGTTTGGTTGATGCTACGTTCAGATAATTTTCTTAGAGACGATATGCAACGATCGGGCTATGATTAATACTAACATTGAGCTGAAGATTCAACAGAGTCCTGATTATGCAGATGCGTAAGTTCAAAGGACCATTTGTGTCCATGGGCCTAAATTTCTGAACCTACAGACCTTACTAGTGAGGCGTATTTATGCCGTTGGGATGGCATAAAAGAATAAAGTATTTTTGTTTGAAGAGACCTTATTATTTTGCAGGGGTATTTGCGTTTCATTACTAAAATCCTTTTATCTTGATTAAGCCTCTACATCGACCTCCTCGTACTTAGACCTTCACTCTTAACATTTGCGTGTTATCATCAGCTCAGCAACTTGGTGTTCTGTTTTTTTATCAGGACTGATCATGAAGCTGCTCTTCAAGATTTCAAGGCTCGTCTCAGCAACTATGAAAAGGTGAGCTTGGTAGCCACCTTCTAAATTTTAAGATCGGGGATATTAAGCTGGGCTTTGAAGTTGGGCGTTGAGAATTGACCTATCACATCATTAATAATCGGGTACATGGTAACCTTTGGAAATATTTTCATCTAAGATGGTATCCAATACGAAATATTATCCAGGCATTTTTCGTGTACTTTTCTTCGGTATTCCTAAACGATTCAAGATGGTTACAGTTTTTAGTTCTGTTTTCAATATTTACGGTGTTTGTACAAAGTTATGGGTTGCGTTTCCATCTTTGTTTTGTCACTTGGGTCGTAATTTTCTAAAATTTAGACTTGGGTAAGATTGTAATAATATTACTCGAGTTTGGGTCCTATAGTCTTTAAATAATGCGTTTTGAACTTGGGCTTTCCCATATTTTCATTCCTGCATGAGTGCAAATTGTTTCATTTCCTTGTTCTGTTTACAGAGTTCTCCTAATGTAATGCAGATGTACGAGCCAGTAACTGAGGGTTCCTATATAAAGATGATCGACATGGTCAGTGGGAGAGGGAAAATGGAGGTGAGTAAATTCAGTTTGCCAAGCAAGTAATTCAAGTATTTAGAGGTACCAATAGCAATCGATACTACTTCTCATTTGAGGTGAAGAAAGTATAGGAGGTGATGAGAAAATGAGTTTTTGACTTAATTGTTGGCTGCGCTTGTAGGTGAACAGCATTAGTGGTTACCTTCCTGGTCGAATTGTGTTTTTTCTGGTAAGTTCAGCGTGGCGAACTTTTGCTGATTTTTTTGTACAACTAATCAAGCTGCTGTTAGCTTCCAGCTAGCTTTACAGTGTTTCTGGAGGTATTGGCTTCTTCACTTCATCATATTGAAGTTTAACATATTCTGCAGTTAAACACTCACATCACGCCCAGGCCAATTTTATTAACTCGACACGGTGAGAGCCAAGACAATGTTAGAGGTCGTCTTGGTGGTGATCCTCCTCTTAGGTATACTTTGGATTTCTTAACTTACCATTTGATTGAAGATACTCTGTTATTCACTCAATTTGACTGATGTAAGCGGTTCGGAACATTTGGGGTTTGTTGATGCAATCGTGTACTGACATCAAAACTTGGATATATCAGCTGTTTATGTTCAATCTTTTACACTTTATTTCAATAGCTTATTAATTTGTACATCTGATTTGCCCAGTGAGGCGGGAGAGAAATATGCTCTTAAGCTAGCAGATTTTGTTCACAAACGCCTGAAAAACGAGCGCACGGCATCTGTGAGTTTGACACACGTTTCGCTATCATCGTTTGATATGCGCATAAGCCGCTTGATACTTGTACAGAGTCAACTCTTCTGACACTGTTGTGTGCCTACTTGTATCCAACGCTGGTTGACTCTGGAAGTTGTCAATGTTGGAATTGACAGCTTTTCCATGCCTGTAGAACTGTCAAAGTTGGTCCATATTATGACATAATGCGTCCTACGTGTAGATTTGGACGAGCACTTTGCAGAGGACTTTGCTTACAGCACGTCACATCTCTGGTTTTCCAAAGGTAAGTTTTCGAGTACTATGTCCTGGAGAATAATTTCCTTGTATGGCATGCGGGTATTGATCTGTTCTGAAGTTCGAGTATCCGGATTTTATCTAATTCACCTGAAAACACAGCTAGAATACCTCTAACTATTGGTGTATTGAGGTGATTCAATATGGTATTGACTACTGACGGTTGTTCATGAACAGGTTCAATGGCGGGCACTGGATGAAATCAATTCTGGTGTTTGTGATGGTATGTCGTATCTGGAAGTCAAAGAAACCATGCCAGAAGAGTATTTGTAAGTATCACTTACCTATGTGTTTACTATTAAAGAGTCAACAGCCATCTCTTTAAAGCTTCGATTCAGATTGTATAATTCATGCCCGAAATGTATCAAATATAGCTTATGCAGGAATGAGGTGTTGGTGCCATGATTAGCCGCAATAAATGCACCATTGCTCTAATGTGTCGACTGCTTAAGGTTTTGCCTGGCTGAATGAAACTTCAGTTCTCAAAATATCTATATATATATATATATATATATATATGTATATACGTATGTTTTCCAGGGGCCATTGTGTTAGAGTATTTCATAAACATGCATTGAATGTTTGATATGATTTATAACTGTTAAGTTAATACTATAGGTGGAAGAAACGCTATCCACCATCTTGCTGTGATTCTATGTTACAAGTACTTCTGCTCTTGATCTTTGTGAATAAGTTTTTAGTAAAACGTAGAAATGTCTTTACCTGAGCTACCACAGGGCTCGGGAGCAAGACAAATTACGATATAGATATCCGCGAGGGGAATCCTATTTGGATGTCATACAAAGGTACATAAGCTATATAAGTTTTTATTTATTTTTACTGTCTCTCCTAGACAGGACTAACATCGTATTTCATTTTGTAGCAGTGAAATCTTGTAGGTTATGCAATTTCATGAATGCTTTCTCTTATCGGAAGCAACTTATTGTTAACAACTACGTGTTTGTCTCACAAAGGTTGGAGCCAGTGATTATTGAACTAGAGAGACAGCGTTCGCCTGTGGTTGTCATTGCGCATCAAGTAAGTTTCCCCTTTACTGCCCATCCAACAAATCATCGTGGTTTATGTCGATTATCGTTATATTCTAGTCAGCGTCTCTGTACTAATTTAAATTACCTATGGTACCAACTGTGATAGGTTTTTAGACGGAAATGATAAATGTGTTAAAAGGTTCTGGATTTTGCTCACTGTGTGCTTTGTCCCTTGGCACAGGCAGTTCTGCGCTCTCTGTATGCGTATTTTTCGGACAAACCTCTGAAAGAAGTGCCTCACATCGAGGTACTATTCACTTCCTAGTTTCACCTTGTTTTTGCAGTTGCAATGGGCAAAACCGATTTCGTATGTGCAACTTCGTCTCATCCAGCTGCTGGGGGTTCTTTATTCGAAGAGTTGTGCTAAGCGATGAAATAAATTTCTTAGTTGTATCCAGCTATTAGCAGCTATCTGGTTTGCACTGATTGCACTTCTATTGCCAACTTCTCTGGAACATGAACATATAGCTCATTCAAGATTTGGAGTGTTCAGATGCCACTTCACACCATTATTGAGATTCAAATGGGAGTAACCGGTATTCAGGAGAAACGATATAAGCTCATGGAGACCCAAAGTATGTCCTTTGAGCCAGATTTACAAATGAATGGTTCCTTGTGTAGGTTTTTATGCTTTCAGTTCCGTTTGGTCTCCTCCTTCTTTTCTTTCTTTACGTTTTTTTTCGTTGATGTTTTCTTCTTCTTCTTCTTCTTCTTCCCAGACGTATTCACTTTAAGTCAACCGTTGAGGATATGAGATTTGATTAGTTACTGACGCATCGACCTCGATACCTGGAACGTAGGGTCTATCCGGGATTCCCTTCGTCTTATCTTGAAAAGCAACCGTGGTGTGAGATGCACGAAATTGGACAATGTTAAATGTAATACTGGATTTTAAGTGCACATATTGACTGAATTTGTTGCATGCAATGGCAGGCACCAAGTATGCCGAGTTTCCATGAGCATTCACATTACAAAGCAGATTTCCTTGGCTCAAGAGGACTCTATTGGCTAGGTTTCAAACAGGCCATCCCGTTCCTGTGACTATTGAAAATCCAGGTTAAGTTAAATGAATCTAGTGTTGTTCCTGTGAAATATCCAAGATCGCATAAACGTGCCTTCTTTAATTGCAGTTATGCAGGAATTGCAGCGAACCATTTCATTCTTGAACTCAATGTTCGTTCATGACTTTGGTGTTCAATTATGGCTCAGTATATTTTTAAATTTATAATTTTTTTTTTGCGTGCACAATGCACTGTTTTGTAGAAAAGAAGTCGATTTTTCTAGTGAAGGTACTTGAGAAATATAATTATTGAAAAACGTGCTTGGAACTGAAGTTAGGGTAGCTAGAAAACCCGAAAAATATGTATTTAAAAAAATGATGGGATTGTCATATTTATTTACATTCAGAATCAGGTTGTCTTTGGAACGGAATGGAATAATCCAGTTGATGTAATTTTTGTGTGTATGTAAAATGTTTTAGTATTCAAAAGTTGGATTTGAAATTGTTAAGGTGTACAATTTTAATCAACACATAATTGTAACTAACTTTGGCAAATTTTACATCTAACATGAGCAAAATATATTTAATTTGGATAGATTCATTGATCTTTTAAAATATCAACATTTTTATATTGTAGATAGTCGTAAATTACAATTTATTATTCATCATCACCTTTAATCTTAAATTATAAATGTGTTTTATAATCTTTACACCACAATCCAAAATTAAAACAAAGTTTGAAAGACATTATGTTTTTCAATACTTATAAGAAAAAAATTATTGACTAAAATAAAAATAGTAACAAAATCTATAGACTATAAGATGATGTATTATATTAAATTGGCTTGTGTTAAGTAAGGTTTGAATGTAAGAAAAAATTGATTAATAAATATATTTTAATAAAAACTTTTTAGATTAAAGAATTTTATTAAATATTGGGTATATTTATGATTTTTAAAAAACTAAGAAAAAATAAATTTAAGATATTCACTTATTGATATTTAAGATATTTAAGATATTTATTTATTGATATAAAATTTATATCAAATATATTATTTTATTAAAAATAATACTGACAATTTTTGTTTCTAATGTAATAAATTGAAGCATAAAACAAGGGTATTGCTAATGCTACTACAGTTTTTGCTAAGCTTAGGCTATAAGCATGTCCCAAATTGTTATAGGCACACCTAAGGCCTTTAAATCCTAAACTTCCTCTTTTTTATCCCAATGTGGATTCCAAACCTCCTCCCTCTCTTCCTTGTCTCCCTCTCTTCCTTTCTCTCATCATAGGTCTTAGTCATTTTTTCCTCCTCTTCTTTATCCAAAACCCGTGCCAAGACAAGAAAATGGGGTATAGAGCAACTAATTAGATACCTTGGGTATATATGTAGACATAATGGATGTATGTATAGCAATTTGGGGTGTGGTTATAGCTTGAGCCTTTTTGCTATTGCTACCACAATGTACTATCCACGACATGCCATCATAGTTTTTGCTAATGCCATCACAACTCAACATATTTCTTTTGTTTTTATTTATTCTAATTAAAAATTTATCAATAGTTTTAAAAAATAAAATTATATAAAAATTTAAAAATAATTTATACACTAAAACTCAAATTGAAAATTCTTAGTAATATATATATATATATATATGTATATAATTTAGGAATTTTAATAAAATATACTTCTATAACATATTAAGACAACACAAATTTATCTATTCTGATTTATATATTAATATAAAGATATATATATTTTTTATTTTTTTTATTTTTTAAAAAAAAACGATGCAAAAGTTCGATCAATGAACAACGCAATGGCTAGTTGCCACAAACGAGAATTTCAAGCACGGTCACAGATGCACAACAGGCACGGTCTTACAGCGAATCCCACGGTATCCTCATGGGAGGTGAGGATACGAGCTGTTGGAACGGAAGACCTGAGTTAGGGACCTGAGTTAGGGATGTGAGAAAACGGGAACCTGCTTCATTTCGACCCGCACCTTCCAGTAGTCTCTCATTCACCATCACGCGATTTTCTTCACTGCGCCTCACCCTCTTTCGTGTGATCCGCCTCTTCTCGCCGTCGCTATGGCCGCTGCCAAGCAGGCCTTGCAGAAGGCCCTCGAGCCCATGTGGAATTGGGCGTCTCGCCGCTATCAGGCTGCCGTCGCCAAGGAGCTCAAAAAATACGGTACACTCCCTGCTTCTCTGCTCGTCTGTGTCCCTCAGCCCTAATTTCCTCCTTCGTTGCAATTTAGTTCAGTTTGCATCTGTGGCGTCTCGATCATTTTTTTGATGTTTTCCCGGTTCTGGTGTTCTGTGTTTCAGGTTTGCGGTACGATGACCTTTATGATGACATGTATGACTTGGACATCAAGGAGGCTCTGAGCCGGTTGCCACAGCAAGAGGTGGACTTGCGCAATCAACGCCTGAAGCGGGCGATGGACTACTCCATGAAGCATCAGTACTTGCCCAAGGACTTGCAGGTTCTTTTCCCTTCCACCTCCGCCTTGCTTTTTCGGGGTTTTCTGGGTTTTCTGGGTTTTCTGGGTTTTCTGGGTTTTTTTTTTTTTTTTTTTTTTGTTATCGGCTCGATTTCTTGAAGGAACAGAAGAATGAGGTTAGGGTTTTTAGCGATTGGAATGTTTGCATGGATCTGTTTGAGCTGAGGGAAGCTCTTTCTCAAGTGAAATGTGTAGTTTTTGTGTGCGCGAATATTTTGCGAGCGTTAGGTTTAGATACCGAAACAAATGTTCTTGAGCAAAGAAAGAGGTTTAGAGATCTTGCCGTTACTGGGTTTGTTGTATCTGTAACTCTTAGAGTAGTAGAGGTGCTCCTCCTAAACTACCTCGTTACGCACATAATGTGTTTAGTGGGGTACATTCTCAAGATCCATTTACCAATATTTGTAAGAGTGATATTAGCAGGGTTTCAGTTGAGGAATCTTGCCTAGATGTGAATGCTGCTCCGAACGCTGGATATATCGCTGGGCTGTGACGTGGCGGTGGGTAAACGTATGCTACTGTTTTGCAGTGCAAATTGGTGGCAGGAGGATACGTTTTTGCTATCGATCAGCAGTTATAGTGGTGGCTCTAGTTTCTGTTCGAGCCAGCGGTCAAGTTGTTCGTCGGAACTATTTTCGTAGTATATGTCCATATCTGCATTGGTATTGATGATGGAAAAGGATTTTTGAATTGAAGGACCCGTTGCAACCTGGCTCATATTATTCTCGTGCATTTTGCAGGCTAAGCAAACTCCGTATGAGCCCTACTTGCAAGACGCTTTGCAGTTGGTGAGTCACCAACTGATTTTTTATCAGAGAGTTCGATTGGCATCCCTATAGCTGAAAGTGTGTTACATTTTTATTGCCGCATGATTTCGTGATTAGCTGCGTTTTATATGAAGAATAGTTCCTTAGCTTCCCGTCTTTTTATTTGCAGGTAAAGGAAGAACGCAAAGAACACGCAGAATTGGGTTCGGATCTGCCTTACACTCGTTCTTTGCCGTGAGACACGAAGATAGATTTTCATGATGTCCAACCAGTTTCTTTACAGAGACTGCACAGCTGTAGGGTTTTCTTTCACAAACAAAATTTGTAGTAAAGAATGCTATTGAAGGCTGACCGTAACTAGGAGTCTGTGAATTGGACTCCGAGTTTGAGGCGCTGGTCGTGGTTGTCCTTTATAGGTCCTTATTTCATGACCTTTAGGCGTGTTCTATCTAATAAAACTAGACTACAATTCTGAATCGAACTACTTCTCTTGTGTTGAAGTCTTTTACTTGCTTATGTCACTTTTGGGCTTCTTGAACTAAAACTCTTAACCAACAAATCACTCTTCCCCCAGTCCAAAAAATCTTTGAAGTATTAGAAAGTGGCTCTCTCAAATTACGTTGATTAGTATTATACTTGTAACTAATTACCAACATCCAAACCACTAATAGGTGAAATCTACAATTTCATTTTTCAGGTTACTCTGTCTGTAGCATATGACGTGTTCTCAATCAGAGAACAGGGCTTCTTTTCATGGATGCTTTCTATTGAAAAGTTGACGTTGGATGTCCGCCTACAGTTACATTGTTTAATTCTATGTTACACTTAAATTTATAGTTATATGTTTGTGTATGTACATACATATGTATGTTTGTGTGCATATATGAACATATGTGTGTATATGATATTGATTTTTTAAATTTAGTGGGAGTATTTTTAACCTCTTATGTTTTTGATTCTCGGTTTTAGATGATATATTTTTGTCATTGATATTCTTTACTTATTTATGTACGTGTTTATTTATTTACTTTATATTAATGTTATGAGAATCAAAAACATAGAAGCAGTAGAATGATATGATAAAAAACAATAAAGTAGTATCAGAGTAGTAGGTTTGCAAGCTATAACATAAATAAATTTGAATAAAAAGAATAAAGAAATTGAGGATGGTATCAATCTAGGATTAATCAGTTTTGTTTGTAAGATGTGAAATTTTTCACAGCTTACAAAATCACAAGTCACAAAGTTTGCACAAGTCACAAATAGATTTGTGCAGCAATTTGATAGAGAAATTTTCTAATAAGATGTGCTGCATGAGCTTGACATACATACTGGTCCAATTTATGTTAGATACTTGTAAAACAATTTTTTGGGAACTTATAGGAGATTGTAGAAAAGTGAGAGATTTTAAATGCCACACATCTCTCTTTAAAGAAATTCTTAATAATAAAAGAATATGAAAGACTCTAACGTGATATTCAACGTTTGTGGTGCCTTAGTAAAGTGAAGAACAACAAAAAACACTTGCACTCCATTGACCTAGAAAGTTAAAGATAGCTTCTATTTTAAAAATAATAAACAAGTAAAAGTTAACAAAAAATGCTAATTTTAAATAATAAGAATGTTGATTTTTTTATTAATCATTCAATTTTTAGATAAACATGACTTAATGTGAGCTTATTAGAATAAAACAAGCATAAATTTCATTGCATTTATTTCCTGATTTATCAAATAAGGTTTAATTAATGTTCAGTTGCATCAATTGTGAAGTAAATTTAATCTTATAAATATTTATACAATAAAACCTCATAATTAGGGATTCAAGGTGGAAGCATTGTGTTTTTATTTTTAAAAAAATTATTATTATTATTATTATTTAATTATGAGTTTACAAGTCTACTATGGACTTAAATATTCTTCAAGAGCCTAGTATGTGCGTTTAGATAATTATCTTATTTAGCAAGGATTTATCAGATTAAATGTTGATGCAAATATCTACATTAAAAGTTAAAATGATAATAGATTTATTATTTTGACAATCTATATTGATAACTACATACTTGTTAGTAAAAACATCTCATTTATTTACAAAATCAAAGAAATTCTTCACAATGCATTTGACATAATAGACAAAGGCAACATACATAACATACTTAGAAATTCTATTATTATTAATTGGCAAGAAGGCTGGACTATATTTACTTAATAAACATTATCATATTAGGTACCTAGTTGTAGAAGATAAACATTATCATATAATATATTGGGTACCTAGTTGTAGAAGATAAATAGGAAAATGTAACAACAAGATCTTAAGAAGTCTAATAGAATCTTGAATAAACTCTAATTAAACCTTAACAAACATAATCAAACTTTAACCAAATCCAAAAGAAATTTTGAAAGAAATTACTAAAGAAATATAAAGAAATCATAAATTCATCTTAAAAAATATTAAAGAAATTCTTTAAAAATGCTAAAATAAAAAACCTTAAAGAAATAATAAAGAATCTTTAAAAAATTGAAAATTAAAATATAAAATAAATTCTATGTAAATGCTAAGTAAATCCTAATCAAATTCTAATATAGCTCCAAATAAATTCTAATGAAATCCTAATAATTCTAAACAAATCTTAATAAAACACTAACCAACTCTCATCAAATTCTATTAAATTCTAAGTAAATCCTAATAAAATCCTAAAGAAATCTTAAACAAACTCTAAACAAATCCAAAAAAATCCTAAATAAATCATAACCAATTCTTATAGCTATTTTAAAATCTCAATAATAATTATTTAAATTATTGATGTCTACTAAACTTTCACCAATATTTCAATCCACAAGAAAATAATAAGCACAAAATTTTTGAGAAAAATCAAATTTACCAATTGAAAAAAAAAAAAAAAAAAAAAAAAAAAAAACCCTAAAACTCTCAAATGTAAGTTTCCTTCCTAATTCAACTTAAATGTTTATCTTTTAGTAGCAATTTATCCTTATTGAACTATTAAATTGCTTTTCAAATTAATAGACATATAGATACTTAAGTCAAAAATATTATTACCAAATTTTTCTTCAATTGAATTGGGAGATGTTTTAGGATCATAGAAACCCTCACTAACTCTAAATTTCAAATATCTGAGATCCTAATCCAATAAAACTCTTATATCCTTCAATTAAACTATTTGATTGATCACAAATTTGTTAAACATATTTAAGACAAACACAATAACAAATGTACAAAATTTTACCTATAATTTGCCACAATATTCATACAATCTTCAAATATGTAAACCTCTTTTTATTTTTTAAAATCCAAAACCACCAAATTCATCTCTTTCTTTAAAAAGCCCTCAAAAACTCAATATGCTATCAGATTTGTTGAATTCAATTTCCAAACAATCCTTCTAAAGTTTTTTCTCTAATTGCATTTTTTAATTAGAATAAAAAACCTTGGAATCACCATAGGTTTGCACTTTTGTGCCTTGCGATTTGATTTCAACCCTAGTTCACAACCAATCCTCTTTGGATATCAAATCTTGATATTTTGAGGTAATTTTTGCTAAAATCTATTTTTAATTCTTTAAATTTTTATTTATATGATTTATTTTCTAAGTCTACTTTTTTTTGTCTTATTTATGGACTTAAAAAGTAAATAGAAGTTTATTTTATTATTATTATTATTTTTTTTTAAAAGATAATATTAATACTAATTTTTTTATTATTTTTTTATTATTTATCCATATTTTGCTACTACATCTTTTTACTAGGTTTTTTTTTTTTTTTTTTTTTTTATAATTAATCCTATATTTTTATCTTTCACCATATAATTGTGTTATTACATGATAATGTATAGAATATAATGTGTTAAATTGTAATTCTTTAAGTACACCTATGCAATGTAAAATATAATTAAATAAAGATGATTCTTCTTCTATTCAAGAAGAATAGATTCTTATCAATTCATATCTTTATTCTCAGTTGTTTGTCAAGTTAATGCATACTTAAGTTAACTCTAAAGCAGATTGTGCTTACACTATTAATAATTTAGTGCAATATCTATTCAATTTTGGTCTACTCCATATTCTAACTTTGAAAAGAATTATATAGTATATTACAGATACATTAAACCTTAGTATTAAATATCAAAAATTACTTTTTGGACATTTTTTTTTATGGTTTTCTAGATGTTGATTGGATCAATAATAAAAATATTCAACACTCAATATAAGAGTATTTTTTTCATTTGGATTGTGGAATTATTTCTTGAGGCAGTAAAAGTAACAAATTGTTGCTATTTTATCTACAAAATTATAATACATGGTTCTAGCTAAAACCATTGCTGAAGTTATATAGTAATGAATATTATTAAACAAATTAGGATTTTCACAATTTGATTCTACTATTCTGTACTGCAAAAGTTAAAGTACAATTGCCTTAAGAGCAAATCCCAAGTATCATTCTCACTGCAAGCATGTGGATACATAATATTATTTCACCAAAGTTAAAGTTTTTGCTCATGAGATTCTATTAAATTATGTTTCTACATTTGATGTGATTATTAATATTTTCATTAAGTCTTTATCTCAAGACAAATATAAGCATTGTTTAATCAACTTGAAAATATATGTTTGATTATAACTAAGCTAATTCAACAATTAAAGCCTTGGCCACTTCTATAAAATTCTTTGATTCTCTTCTACATTCTTCTCACTTATGTAAGAATTATTATGTAATGTGTACCTATAGTTGTTGCCTTAAGCATTCACTTCATTACTTATATATGCATATTCATGTATTCTTTCAATTTATGAACCTATTATTTATTTTTCTTATACCAATAATGCATAAGTTTGGATATTTTGATCAATCTTGGAGTGGAAGATTGTGAGTCATTAAAATAGCTTACCTTTAGTTTTAGCACAAAAAATATACTTAGAATGTCAAAAACCACAATTGTTAAGTAAAGTAGGTGTAGAAAACTTTAGATGAGTGAACAAGTAGTATTAATTGTAGAAATGTGACTTCTTTTCAAAATTCTCAATATCACCAAATAAATACTAAGTTGGATGAAGCTAGATGTGGATGAAAATTAATTTCATAAATAAGAATTTGATAATAGATGTACACTATATTGAATGAATAATTAAATTTGGATGAAGTTAGATTAAGATTTGGATGAATTTATGATAAATAAATAAAATTGGATGAATATTTATTTGGAGATAAATTCTCATTTATATACAAATTCTTAATTGTGGATGAATTTTTATTTGTGAACAAAGTTTTGCTAAGAAATGAATTTTTTTCCATGGATAAAAACTTCTACGAATTAAATGATGTTGGATAAATTATTTTTTTCTTTATAATAATTAGATGAAATGAAAAAAATTAGTAGACCTTTACAAGACCTTAAGTTATAATTGTAATTAATTAGAATACTTATAGTAAAATAATTCCTTATGAAGACTAATAAGCTATTATTAAGGTGGTTTTATTTAGGTTACAAAGATATCTATGATAATTCAATTGTCCATTATCCAAGAACAATCAAAGTATATAATTTTTAAAGATTAATAAATAATTTATATATATATATAGACATTGTCTAATAGATAAACGTTACTAGTAAAGAAGAAAAATTTGAAGGTGAATAATATTATAAACAACATACAAACTTACATCCATCAAGCATAGAATTCTTTAAGTTAAGAAAGTAAAGTAGATTTTGTACAAATTACACTTTATAAAATCACAGAAAATCAAAAGCAACACAGATAAAAGATGCAAAGAAATTGGAAGCAACACAAATCGAAGATTCAAGGTAATTAAAAACAATACAAATTTGAGATCCAAGAAAATTGGAAGAAACTTAGATTTAAAAATTGGTACAAATCTCAAATGTAATACAATTATTACTACTCCAATATAGCCCCTACTACAAACATCTAAAGAAAATCAAAGGGTCTTTAAATAATTTAAAGTATTAATCAAGTCTTTAGTGAAGTTACTTACAAAATACATGCATTAACTATACACTTCAATTTCAAAAAGTATTAGAAGAGAGTTCTAGAGTAGGGAGACTTTGCACAAAGAAGAAAGTCCTTTAAATTCCAATCCTTAAAAATATAATTAGAAAAATAATTGACAAAACAACAATTGGATGAAAAAACATTGGTTGGATGAATATACAACAAGACTAATGTTATAGTGAGAGTGTTAAACACATATAAAGTATATAGTATATTAGTTGAACAATTATAATACAAAAAATTGTAACTTTAGATTCTTAGATAGTTGAATAATATATATATATATATATATATATATATATATATTTATAGTTATAAAAATTATTACTAATATAATAAAAGTTTAATTGCATATTTTTGATTCTTATATAATTTCTTTAATTATGAACTACTTAGCAACATATGCTAAAGTTCTTAGTCTTAATTGCAAGCTACACATGAACATTGATCTCTTAGAATTCATATAGAAAGGACTCCTAAAACTTGAAGATGGCGAGGTTAAGGAATCATACTATTTTTTCCACCACATAATTCTTTTATTTCTTGAATTATGTTAATTAATGCAAATTCAATATTTTCTTGAGCTTATAGATCATTATTTCTATAATCTTACAAAGGATGTCCTGAAGCCATTTAAAGAACTTGTGAGCTTGTGGTAGATGCTCTTTGGATCAATACATAATGATTTCAGAAAATAAAAATTAGAAGTTTAGCGTATAGTAGAATACAAAGAATCTATGATTATTGCAAAAGATCTAAACAGGTAGAGTACAATAATTGCTAGTGCTATTGGCTTCGTCTAATATGTTGTACAAGCTTTTTGTATAAGTGCATAAGGATAGAACCTAAGAAGGCAATAGAAGAGTTGCTATAATACACCACCTTAATGCAATGGAGGATTACTTATAACCAAGACAAATATTGTGTGAATATATTGTGTAAAGATTAGCTAATGAATTTTACTTCTCTTTTTAGACATCTAATTTCTCTCAAAGGTTTTCTTAAAACCATAAAGAGTGAATCTCTACTTTGGACTTCAAACTACCTTAACCTCATCTCAAACAGTTCTAATGATGCTAGAAATTCTTGTCAATAATACTCAATATGGCAAAATAGGATCCATTGTACAATGTCATGTTTTTAATATATTGTTATCATTTCAATATGATATTAGAGCAATACATAGTATAATTTCAAAATTATTTACAACAATTGTATCAAATAAAATTTAGTACGAACACTAGTTATAGTGTTTGTCAAATAAATACATCAATGATTCTTACAAAGTTGTGGTGGTTATTGAAATTGTGAGTATATTTATATATCAAAGAATAAAAAAATTAATTAGGATTACACATGTTTAATGACTATCCTCTAAGATGCTCTACACTTTCTTACAAAAATGATTGTGGTCACAATTTTCCTTCAAACATTCACAATATTTCAATAGATGATGACCATCAAATAAACTATACAATATGAAGATATTGTTGATTTATCACTGTGAAGATTACTTTTAATAGGTGCATGAACATAAAAACTGATTGGCACATGATTAATTTCAGATTATTTTTGAACTTAACATGATAATATTTTTGAAGTTAAAGTTCAACATTACATGTTTAGAAATTCAATCTATCTACGCCATTTAAAAATAAAATAAAATAAAATAATCTTAATCTTAATCTTTCTCCAATTTTTTTATAAATACTTACAAAAAAAAATTAATTACACATAAAAAATGTTATATATCTATATTATAATAGAATTGTGCTTTTCCAATAAAATAACTACAAATTATGTTAAAACCACTCAGAACATAGGCTTTTTCACAAGGTAAAGAACTGCGTTGCCATTTCACATATAATTGTACTATTGTGATTGAAAAATTAGAAGAAATGTAACAAAACAAAATACACAACAAAATCCACTCTCCTGTTGGTTTGATGAGTTTCTACTAGTATGTGTGTATAAACACAAATATAAATATATATAGTAAACAAGAAAAGAAATCATGTGGCAAGTTTATTAATTGTCAAGTTTTTATTTATTTATTTATTAATGTATTTATAATTACTCAAATTTGGCTAATATATAATATTATTGAACAAGTTTGGCATTCTATATGGGCAATCGGAATATGAATGTATTCCATTTTATATTAAAATTTTGATAATATTACGATATAATATCAATATACTGCATATTAGTAAAAAATGTAAATTTTTTTACAAAGTAAGTAATTTAATTTTTTTTTCACTAATTAAGATTTTTGATTTGCAATCTATGGCAAATTAGAATTCAGAATAAATTTTGTGAAATTGCAGACCAGTAATACATTTTTTAGAATGCTTTAATTTGAATCAAATCAAGAATTTATCTTTTTTTTTTTTTCTTTTTTTTAATTAAAAAACCATCCAATCAACAAACTTCATGGACAAACTGAAAAATTAAGTTAATCAGCAAATTTCAAGGACAGACACCAATTTTTTATAATAAAGTAGACTTATGAAGTAAAAAAGAAAAAAGAAATCATGAATCCAAAAAAACTTATAATAATTATGATTTTTTTGTAATTTTTTTGTCTTCCATTTATATTTCAAGTTGTGCACATATTATAAAAAAAGTTTAAAAAGTATAAGATATAATAAATGCAAATCGCCATGACTTGTATTGCTGTCTCTGTAAATTCTTTTCTATGTATATTTGATTTGATTTGTTTTTGTTTCTTTGTTTTTTTTGTAAGTTGAAAAGTTATTACAAAAATTCACCAAAGGCAATGTTTTGATTAGAATGAAATATAAAAGGTTTGTCTTAAAACCAGTTGGTCTCACAGAATTTTTAATTTTAAATTTTTTTATTAATATAAAAAGTACAAAAATAAAAAACCCATTATATATTTTGATGCATTGATCAAATAAATTATTTATAATTTTTTGAAAGGCCTAAATCACATAGTGAAAGAAAAAAAAGTGAAAAAATTATAAAAATCCAAAATTACACACACACACTCACTCGTATGATTTATTTTATTTTATTTTAAATTCCATCAAATAAAATTTAAATTAATAGGGTATATAGCATGTAAACTTAAAAAGAGTAAAACCTCTCTACAGTGAGATGAAGAACTGGCCCAATGTACGAAGGATACCGTCGCTCGCTTCCCGAGACCGTGGAGACCCATGGTAATAGGGGTAACCAAGGCCCCAAGGATACCGGTACCCACTTTACGAGACCATTGAGACCCACGGGAATGGGGCATCAAAAGTCAAACATCCTCTCGTGCCCCGAGACAATACCGGAGCTTAAATAGAAGAGCCCGTCGCCGCCCCCGCCCCTGACGTCGCAGTTGTGTGTGTTTGGTATGGGATCTTGCATGTTCCTGTTCCTGTTCCTCTCGTCATGTTGTTGTTGTTGTTGTTGTGATTGTTGTTGTGATTGTTGTTGTGGTTGTTGCTTCCTCTTCATATTCCCTGCGCCATGCCGCTTCTCTTCATTCTTCTCGCCGTGTGCTGACGAGCCAGAATTCCGTTTCGTTGCCAATTGTGGAGCCTGTTTCCGGGAAAGGGATATGCACCATAGGTATCACGGTTCGGGGTTCATTGCGGTGGCGGTTCTGCGGCTAGTGGAGAAACAGTGGAGAGCTGCGGACAATGAAGGGTCGTTACGAGGTGACACTGTTCGAATTATGGTGTTAACGCGAAGATATGTCGTGGTGAGTGAGAGGGAGGAAGTCAAGTGAGAGGTTTCAACTTCCTGGATGTCCTGGAAAATAATATCTAGTGACTGTGACGTGGGAGTCTTGCAGGCCGGGATCAGTTGTGAAGTTTTGTGAGTTTTTGTTGTTAATTTGGTGTGGCGAGGTTTAAGGTTCGTGCAGCAGCGGCGTTCGTTGTATTGTTATTGTGCCGGGAATTTTTTTGTAGCAGATGTTTTTGGTGCGTATGCATGTAAGTTATGACTTGACAATGTGTAGGTGTAAATGCATTGGTATGGACAAGTGAACTAGGCACAGAGGGTTTGGGATGGTACGTTTTGTATTTATATGTTGCTTTCTTTGAGAACTTGGGGTAGAACATGTTATATTGGAACTATAATTCGCCCTCGACGTATATTGTAGTAGTGATGGCGGTCAGTCATGATCGTCTCGGGGCGGGATTTCCTTGTCGCTCGAATTTAGGGTTTAGGACATGTGCTCGCTTAGGGACGTTGTAGCGAATGATCAGCCGCTAACCTTCAATATTCTTGTTCGATGTGACATCACTGTTTTGTGAGAATATTGTTTTAGATACCCAATCTTAGGCAGACGTGCGCTCTCATCTTCGTAGGTACAGTATTAGCATTATTTCAACAAACGTTGAAATGTCAACATTTACAGCCCATCGAAGTCTTCAAATTATTGTCGAGTTGTCACTTTTGGAGTGAGAAGTTCATCCTAATTGGATTCCTCGTAGTGATTTTTGCTGCTCAGTGTATTTAATTGCTAGTTGGTGGTGAGAGTTTAACCACGTTTTTGGTCTCTATGGGTTATCTTGATTCAGGGATCGTTCAGGTGGCGTAGAATTTGAGTGACTGTCGTAGAAAACATGGTTTTTGAAAGTTTTGATACGCTTTCTGGGTTCCAGAGTTTGGTTTAACGAACTATGACTTAATAGTTACCAGAGCATTTTGCGGGTATGACTCTTGATTCAGCAGATTATCTTGCTAGCAAGTATACCCCTCGGCTGCTTTTCTGTTTTCTCTGTTGTTCTCCAGCGCACATTGATCTTGGTTGGTTTCATGTCGTAGGGTCTACAGTTCGCTTTTGAAGCGTTGATTGTTGCTGTGAGTGAAAAAAAAAAAAATCCCTCGGAACGAAAGGTTCATTCATTTTTTTACGAGTTGACTGAGGCTCTAAGAACTCCTTTAGAGGTATATTTCGTGCTCGAAGCTGACCATTGCCTTAAAGACGCGGACAGATGCTTGTCTTAAATTCATCTTTGCACCCGTAGCTCTGTTTTAGAAAAATTGGGTGTTGAGGTCATATTCATTCGAAACTTGAAGTGGTGGTGCCGTAGTACTTTACTTTTTGTTACTTGATTTCGGTATCCTCAATCAAACCCCGTCCAAGTTTGCTTTCTATTTATTCCTTTCAGGGAACTATTGCCTGACTGGATATAGAATATGAATTTTGGTCGAAAGCTCAGACAGGTCTATATATTGGCTATTGTAGCGCTGTAGACCGCGAAAGATTGATCGATAAGGACAACTCCTGATCATGCACGTCCAAGCAAAAGTTCAGGCATCATGGGAAGTACAGAAGATTCTGACCGCAAACGCCGCAACTTTAATCATTCTGTATCCCCTGTAGTCATGAAACAATCTCTTACACCTTCATCTGAAAAGAAGAAGGTACTCTCTACCTTTATCTTTCTTTCTTTCTATGTTATGTTTTACAATTCTCAAATACTACGTCCTTGTTTATTCAAGAGCATGGGAGGTTATGCTCTTATACTTGTTCCTGTCTGAAATTTATTTTTATTTTCAGTCTGGAGGATGTGGTGAATTTTTTATTTTTTTATTTTTGAGGTATTATTATGGGTGAAAACGCAGGTGGATGCTCAGATGTTGCATTACCAAAATTCTAAGCTTTCTCAGCTGCTCGAGGTCCAGCGCAACGAAATAAATGTTCTGGAGGGAAAATTGAATCAACTTCATAACAAGCAGGTCTCATTCGATGAGAATCTCTCAATCGTCAGCCGCGTATGGGATCAGGTTCGAACTTAATATTATTGTTTGCTGATATTTATCGAACCGCCTATGGGATCAGGTTCGATAAATATCAGCTCTCTCTTTTTTTTTTCTTTAAATTTTTCCTAGTTTACGTTCAAAGACTTCGGATTCTTCTTGTATTGGTGTTCTCATTTATCGCCTTATTATAAGTATATGTGTGTACGTGTTTTTTTGAGGAATAGGATGACATTCATGTGAAGCCACTGTATTGATCAAGAGTGCTTTGATGAACTCACATGTCTGCCGTAACTAATGGGAGTAAATCGCTTATTCTAGGTTGTGGATGACTTAGAGCTGCTGACAGTACGAGTCGGTCCTACATCCAACGGAACTCATGCTTTGGGGTCTCCCCATGGTGCGTTTTGAATCATCAATTATCCTATCAAACTAAGATCATTTTAGCTTCCATTTCTTGCACATACGAGGACTTTATGACATGGTTATAATTTTTTTGAGTGTGTTAGTTGCCAAATCTTTGGCCAAGGCATAGTAATTCGTAGAAGATTGTATTTTGAGAAGGCAACATTATATCGTTGCTGTTTGCCAACAGATCGGGATAATGCCTCATTTCGTCCAGAGCAAACTTTTCTGCAGCGGCTGCTTGATAGAGGAGCCACCGACAACTCCACAATTAATAGAAGTAATGGCTCAGTTGAGTCTGGACTCTTCAGCCGAAAGGCAGACATTGCTATGACTGTGACGTATCTGGTGCAAAGTATTGATTATGAGCGAGCTCGAAACGATGAGCTTGTGAGTAGTTTACGAAATGATATTGCTTCTATTGGTAAGGAGTCTTACATTACGGGAAGACTGTTGACATTTGCATGTAAAGTTGTGAAAGCTGGTCATTTTAGACGGGCTACCATTGCGACTGAAATTAACAACAAATATTCATAGAGTAGTAGTTTTTTAGATGCTTATCTTCCGTGCAGATCAGTTTCTTGTTTTAAAGGTTGTGCTTTGCATACTTGCATATCTTTTGAGTATAAAATCCAGCAAGGGAAGGTTTTAGGAAATTGTGGCTATCATGATGAACTCAATAGATGTGGCAGGTGTCAATGGGTCGCTCGCAAAGGCAGATGAAGAGCTTTATGCAGAAGCGAAAAAGGTGCGAGGTTTTGTGGAGGATCTTCACTTAAAACACCGGCAGCTCTCTGCTGAACTGGGGACTTGTGGTGATTTTCAAGCGAAGGACCAAGCTGAGGTGAAGAGATTAAAAGGTGTGTATATATCAATTTGTTTAAGTTGTTTCTACCGCTGCCAACCACAATTGTCTTCTACGTGCTTGTAATTATGCTTGAATTGATAGTGGTCGCTTGAAGATTTCCACTACATTCTGACGATATTTTTGACGCTGCAGGCGAGCTGGAGGAAGTTTGTGCTGATCTAGAAGCTAACAGGCGCCAGTTGACTGCTTTCCGCTCTCAGGATGCGACGCTCTCCGGTTCAGCCACACCCAGTGCTACGCCAACTCGGAAAATGTTTGAAGTAAGGGAGGGAGATGCAGAGCAAGGGAAATTTCCTGAAGAGAATTGTGAACTGGAAACTGGTTTGGAAGAGGCTAAGGTATTGAATCCCTCCCATTAACACCATTTTTTGAGTTGGACGAAACAGTGCAACAGCGAAACAATTGTTTCAAACTTGTTGAAGTAGTACTAATTTTTGCATCATTCTTGTCGGCAGCAACTTGCATGGACAGTGCCGCTGCTTAGGTTAGAAATTAGCAAATACAGTACTGTATGATTTGGAGATTTGTAAATTATTTCAACTGGAATGCGACTTCTGCAGGCATTTGCCGCTTCCAATCGAGCTGATTAGTGCTTGACAAAGAAGCGGTTTATTGCATGCGGATTTCTACCTCTTACGTTGCAAGTATTCGAAGTAATTTGCATGTCACAATCATGTAAACCATAATGCTTATAATCAGTAAAATCACGCTATCATTGTATTAAACTGATGTAGGATTTTTCAGTCATTGGCAGCCCGAAGCCTTACAGAGCTTCAAGAAGCTATGCATAATCACTTGGATGATATTCGGAAGATCCAGCAAATGCAGGTTAGATTTGCTAGTATTTTGTTCATAATAAAATTGAGTAGAGGTGTATTAAAAATTACTTATATTTAGTGATTACTAGCCATGCATGCGGTTCACTGTTTAGGTCGATTGATTTTGACTCTTGATAACCAGGATGAACTGGATGACCAAGAAAGCATCATATCTTTTCGGCAATATCAGTCACTGGATGAACAAGTCCAGTATTTGAGGACTGAAGTTGAGAAGTATCGGGCCGTGGTAGACGAGTTACAGGTGTGGTTGTCATTTGACCATCATGTTTCCTTACGCATATCAGTTTCGGAGAATCGAACCCGTAAGACTTCAGATGTGCAAGTAAATGCTGGTGGCTCAGTCATGCTGTGTTGTCTGTGTCAGCCGTTTTGGTGACAATGAATGTAGTTTACCATATTGTTTTATTAGATAGACTATTATCTTGGCATATACCAGTAAGCAGGTAGATGATTGCTTAGTTTTTAGTACGCTTTTATGCACTCTGATGTTTTCCTAAGGGTTTATGAGAGCCCTCAGGCTGTCAAGTTAAGTGACTGTAAACCAGTAAAAACTCATGCAGATAAAACATGAGTATAGTATTTTTGGATACATTATGGTCATATATTAAGATGAACTGATCTATGTTTTAACCTCTGTATGTGCAGGTAGAGCGTGTGTCTCTTGTGCGCCAAGAGAAAGAAGTTATATTGAAAGCTGAGGCTGGTGATGCAGCTCGTAGGGCAGGCGCCATTTCTGATGCTCGGGCAGCAGATTTGGAGTTAAAGTTGCAGCAGTGCATGTCTGATTGCGACACTATGCGATTAAGAATTGAAGACGCAACCCGGGCTTCAGGTGTGTGTTTTTGTGACTTTTAATATGAGTAGGAGGATGTGCTTTCTATTTTAGTACCCGAAAATATTGAATTTCTGTTTTTGAGCTGACATTGGTGTTTTCTGTTGGGATTGCCATATGTTGTTATTGCTTGTTTAGTTACGAAAATGAATTGGTGACCAATATATGGCTTGTTTTAGTATTTTTTTTCTTCCCTTGATGTCTTATGTGACTTTTGCAGGAAGAAAAGAGTCGGTAGCTGATCTCAAGAAGGAGAGCACTAATCTTCATGAAGATATGAATATGATTCAAACTCAGTTAGACGATTTCAAGGAAACCGGCTCAGCTGTCCATTCACTGCGAGCAAAGCTTCACTCCTTGCATTTGATTCTGGAAAGAAAAGTAAGCAATGAAGCACTTGTATATCTCACATCTGCTAAGAGAACACATAATAATTTTAAGAATTTTTCTTTTCGTTGACATTAACTTTTCAGACGTTAGAAGAAATGATCTGATACATTTGTTTTACATGCAAAAGTACAACTCGCAAACCTACAGAGGCTTCAGATTAAAGACCAATATGTTTAACTTGATGTTTCAAATGGAGCCTGCCTGTTATGGAAGTGCTTGTGGTCTGATGTTTAAACTGTCTATTTGCAGACATTAGAAAGTCGGCTTCTCAGTGACCAGTATGCTGGCCAAGTTCGAGAACTGAACTTTATTCAGGATGAGGTATGTTTGTCATTTTGAAGCTAGTAACAGGAAGGTTAGTGGAACAGTTGGTTATGTTTTCTTTTGCTCTCTAATCGCCAGTGCGTGTTCTGAGGGTAATGCGTTTTGCAAGACAATGTCAAGTTTTTTCAGTATCTGTGGTCAATGATGTGGAGTCATGTTTACCGAGGTACATTTTGTGATCAACCTGCAGGTCAGGGGTTTGCGAGATAGCGAGAAAGAACTAAAGCTTATTTTGGATATGTACGACAGGGAGTTGAGTGATCCGAGGTAAACTTGTTAAGCACTTGTGGCATTTTGGTGTCACATTTTAGCCTGTGTGAATGAGTGAATGAGTTGCTGCGTGGCATTATATCCAGGTCATTGAATTACTTGAAGTAAATGTTTGTTAAGTGGGCATGCTTGAACTACGGCTCTTGTTTTGGGGACTTAGGGGTAATGGTATTCCCTTAGTCTGAAAGTCTTATTATTATGTTGTGATGTGGTGCAAACATTTTTTAACTCAGTATCTAATTCAGCGGTTGTCACAAGACCTCACAATCAGTTAAATCGATTTGTCTGTTTTGACAGGGAAGTTAGAGAATTGCAACAAGCGGATTGCAGGGCTCTAGCGGAAGTAAAACGACTGCAGTTGGCTCTAGACGAGCACAATCTAGAGCGTCGTGTTAAAGATGCAAATGAAGCAGAGGCTGCGTGTCAGCAGAAACTTACTGCGGTGGACGCTGAGATTGCTGAGCTGCGACAAAATCTAGATGTTTCTTACAAGTAAATATTATGAACCCGTAGTCTTACCACCACGAATGGCGTATCTGTGTCATACTCATAAGAATGATGCAATTAGTATGTTCCATCTTGATAATGTTTTTGAACTGGACCTTCGAACTTGGATTCTCGGAGTTCTTTTTTCTTGCGCAAAAAACCAATTCTGAGCATCACGACCGCGTTATTTCGTTGCAGGGCTAAAAACTCCAATTAAAATGTCGTGCACTTCCTATGTTATCTTTTTCCTCTGAAGATTCGTTGGGCTACTTTTAGATTTGGAATTAAAAAACATTTTATTCTTTTTCTTGTAGTCTTCCTTTACGGAATCGTGCAACCTTCCGGAGGCTGCTCATTTTCAGTTTCTTAAACGTTAAATTTTAAGTGCTATTTTCCTTGACTGCAGGGTTGCTCAAGATTTAAGGGAGAGTCTGCAGACCAAGAAAGAGGAAGAGGATACGTATATAAGTGAAATAGACGTGTGTTCTAAGCTCTTTCTTTATTGCATGCCAATTCTGTCAAACAACGCTTATTTGACTATCCATGTCGTGATTTTGGTGCCTATTTTATTTCTCATCGAGAATGTGAGCGGTTCTTTGACTTGCTGCAAACCTTAAGATCTCTTGGTTCATAGCGTAGTCTCTTCTTTTTACGATTTTCTCGCCTTGTGCAGGATATTACACAAGCTTACATTGATATGCAAATCCAGAATCGGAAGTTACTTCAAGAAATCATAGAACGTGATGAATACAATGCTCAGGTGAGATTACATGCTTTACTGTAGAACATGTAACTATCATTTTGCACATACTTTCCAGGCCGAAACATAATCTGGATGTGGAGATATCTTGCTGCTGACGACAATGAATTTTTGGGCTCTTGCGAGTCGGTTCATTGGGTCTTATTACAGCATCATCGTAAGCTCCTCTTAATATTCACGTCATCAAGTCACTTATATTTTAACTCGTTTTTCTATGGAATTTGGACAAGCAAGAAGAATAGCGCTCTAATAGTGGAACATTTCCTTGAACTCACATGGATGCTGCTGTGTTTGGAATTAGTTGATGTCAGACAGCCTCAAAGCCAAACAGCTGCAGACTTCATTACAAGCTGAGAAACAAGTGTTGAATGCCCGGATGCAACATGTAATTGCTCGCGCCGACCTCCACAAACAGCACGTTGCTCGTATAGAAGATCAAGTATGGACTTTTTAAATTGCTTATTGTCTGACTTATCTTAGACCCTGTCAAGGAATGTGATAAAATTCCTAATGGGTTTGGTATGATGTCAGCTATTGTTTTCAACATTAGTGAAGACCCTCCGATCTGTAATTGTGTTTTGCATTATTGCTCTGAAATGTTGAATTTGATTGAATTTTTGTTGTTGCAGGCCAGAGCATTTATTCATGAACATGGGAAAGCTATAGACGAAAGTCGACATCAATCATCAGCAATGGAAAGTGCTAAGCGGAAAGCTGTTGAGATGGAGAAAGAGTTGGCTTCTGCTAAATCTGCACTAGCCGCTGCAGACAAATTGTTAGAGGAGCGTGGTCAGAGATTGCTGAATGTGAATCTGCAATTAGGAAAAGAGAGGTTGGTATTGGTTTCCGTGTTAAGACTACGGAAATGGCACGAAATGGCGACACCCGTGGAGAGGATCCTATTGTAGTAGTGTTATATTATATATCATGCACTTTTTTTCTTTTTCCAATTTTGCGTTGTCATTTTGTTCTGACATCAAGCCAAACCTGTTCGCACCTGTTTGGGTTGGCTGTAATGATTGTTGTGGGTAAGCTTTAGGTTCGAGAAGCGAAGGGCTCAAGAGGATTTGAAAATTGTAAACATGAAGACTGCACGCCTTCATTCTCTTCACGATGTCGGTTCCACTGCAGAACGGTTACAAGAACAAGTTAATGATTACAGAGCTATTTTGCAATGCAATGTCTGCCACGATCGAAATTTTCAGGTGCTCCTCTTTCCATTGGATTGCGTAAATTGAACCTTGGATTGTGTCTTGTGATATTTTTCATTATTACATGTTATGTTATGAATACAGCCAGTAAGGTCTTAACAGTCCATTGCTAGGAAACATAAGCTGGTAAATATCTAATGGTCAACAGGTACTCTTATGCATAGCAGAGGGTATATGTGAAGGATCAAGCTAATCCAACAATTCTATCAAATTCAATTTGAAGAAAATACCTGGTCATACAGAATTATTGGTGTTTAGAGGTTATGTATTTAACAATCGGGTTGATATATGTTGATTTTGGTGACTAAATGTTGATCAATCAACACAAGGTTGTACTGAGCTTGAGCTTTGTGTGGTGACAGGCTATTATCACTAAATGCTACCATCTATTTTGCATGCCTTGTATTCAACGGAATCTGGAATCCAAGCATCGGAAATGTCCTGGTTGCGGGATTCCGTTCGGGCAGAATGATGTCCGATCCGTGTACATATAAGACAGTTTATTTTTTAAGGAAAGCCCTGGCCAGCGAAAATTCATCCAACAGTGTACCCCTGATCATAGTTGGAGAATGCCCTGGGTTCCTGCTCCATACATCGCACTGTAGTCAACGCATCTTTCAGATGTTCAACATTACTCGTAGTTTAGGTTTCTTTGTAATTGTGAAATCTTTTCTTGCTTTCGAAATATGCCCTTCCACGTCTCACTCGTACAGTGATCTACAGAAGCCCGTCAGATCAAACTGCGCACGCCACGTCTATAGTCGGGATAAAACAAGATCACAGAACTTTGGTAGGTGATCAACATGTGAGGTCCTCTGTGAAACAAGGCAGTTGAAGTGGCTCTTTAGGCTGTCTGTGTCTCAGAAGGTACTAATTCTATGCTTGAATCCCACCGCATTTCATGATGTGAACTGGAAACCAACGTGAAGTATCGTTTGGAACGGTAAATTGGCATCTCGGAGGGGGGTTTCAGTTTAATGTACTGTTAAGTGTTCTCACAGGTCACAGATAGGAAACATAACCGTTGATCGGAATCTGTGTTTTCTGGTTTTGCTGGTCAAAATAGTACATCATTTAACGTATAATTTCTGTCGTACGGAAGTTCAAACTGCCAAAGGTGAAAAATTAAGAGGATTATCGGGTGACGGAAGCTTCTCTCTTCTCAATGCCACAACTGAATTAATCCTTGAACTAATCAAGTTTTCGACACTTTGTTCATTTCATCAGCCACAAGTCAATTTGGTTGAAAAACATGAAACGAATTTAATTAGAAGACGGCTCTCAGATAAACTGTTATGGAATGGAGTTACTGATTGTAACACCAGGTTTTTTGTTTCTCTTTTCTGTTGCACTGAATGAACGCCACAAGGACAGTGATGTAGATTCTTCTTGAAAGGACAAAATCTTTATAGAATGGAAGCTGTGTTTTCCAACTCAATAAGTGAAGGCGGTAGCGCAGTTCACAACCATTTAGATAGCAGAAACTATATCACTGAGCTCTAATAGCCGACCAGAACGAATACATCTAGCGTACAGTGACTCAGGGAAGAACTAGTTCTAAGCCTTGGAACAATCGTATGAAACAGGAGTGCACTCCCTGAAAGTTTTTTTTTTCGTCTTTTGTAGAATTGTGCCGTAGGAGCATTGATGAGGTCTTCGTTGGAAAAATGCACACGCGTCTAGCCTTTAGAACGGTACCTTCCTGTAACAGGATCCAACGGTGTCACCTGCGAAAATCGAGATGAAACACCAGAAACGTGAAGGCGACTTCACGTGTCCTGTCTACCTCCAAACAGTGACGAGTTTGGGCACGGGCGTGGATAATGATGCAGATCCATTATCATGCTTCATAATTACTCTGGTAGGTAGTCTGAATCCGGAAATTAGATCCGAATAGTAGCGGATTGAGAAGCAACATAACGCAATTCCGCTAATGCAGAACTCATCAGCTGGCAGAAGTCTTCAAAGTTGACTTTCCGCTGATCCGAGCCAGTAGCAGTCTCAACCATGGCCAAAAGATCCTCCAACGACAAGCACTGACCTAACGATCCCATCACGCCGCTCAAATCATCCGAACACAACACATCATCGCCGTTTCGGTCCAACACACGAAATATCTGCCTCAGCGCCTCGTACCCGAGCGACGAGAGACTCTCCGGCGCCTGAGGAACATGAGCACTCACAAGCGACATAAACTCGTCAAAGTCCACCGCACCGTTTCCATCTCTGTCAGCTAGAGAAATCATATTCTCTATCTCCTCCGAACTAAGATTACTCTTGAGTGAATACTGCAAAAAATGCGACAAGTCTTCCGCCTTGATAGTCCCATCTCCATCTCGGTCCATCATGTCAAAAGCCTCCTTCAACTGCGACTCCTGCCATACAACAGCTCCTCGAGCCCCCTCGCTCCTCTCCAAACTTCTTCGATGGTCATTGCTGCCGGGCACTCCCTCGTAACACATTTTCACGAAACAGCCTCCTCACAACACTCACCCGCACAAAATCTTAAACAATGCAGACCTCCTCAACAACACTCCACAGACAAAAGCAACGCAATAAGACGCTCTCACGGAACCAAGCGAGAGCTTGAGATCGAAACTACTGAGAGAATGCAGTTGAAGGAGGAGCTAAGTAAACAAGCCGGTGCCGTATGAAATCTGTCTGACACATGAGGAAACATCGACCATCGAATGTGGTGACGGAGACTGGATTCCATGCAAAAAAAACTTGTGGTTCGAGATCGATGCGTTACTAAAACGTGTCCAACAACGGAACGTTCGTGGAGGCAGGACACAGGAAGTTCAATGCCACCTAACGAACGGACAAAGTGTACGTCCTGATGGCCACCGATTCGTCACGAGTCACGTATACGTCCACGTCACGTCCACTGAGAGGACGGACGTCTCGGTCGGACGACTGAGTCCGCTTCGGAAGATCCTTCTGGCGCTTTCCAGGAAACACGAGGCGCCGTTGGTGCAGGTTCGGGCATGGACACTGGGCCCCATCCAATCCTCTTTCACTGCCTCTCCTTTCCTTCTTCACCCAGGCCTTTTTTTTTTTTTTTTATTCCCTTTCTTATTAGAGTCATGAGGCACATGTGCTTTTTTCACAAGGGTTTTGGCCTATTATTCTTTGTTTTTCTGGTCCAACTGTTATTCTTATGTTACAGAACAGACACTTAAGTTTTTTTTTTTTTTTTTTTTTTTTTTTTGGTTAATTGGGAATTATTATTTATTTATTTATTTACAAAAAATATGGGGTATTCAATGCTTTAAATTAGTGTTTCTTTGATGTACATAGAGAATTAAGGCCACATCCTTTATGTATCTAAGGGTGGAACCAAAAACAACACAAGGTAAGTCCAATTTACAAAAAAAATGTTTTTTTTGTTGTCAAATTGAATGGTGGTGTTCCTAGGTAATATCTTATTTTCATATTTATTATTCTTATTATTGTTTCTTTATCAAATTTTGATTTGTCTCTTCTTAGTTAGAAGCATTTTTCTTTGTTAAGTTGTTATTCTTTTTTTGCATGTAAATTTTTATTAGATTTTTACTTGAGCAATTAAATGTTCACTTATTTTTATTTTTATATGTATATTGTTCAAGATTTCATTTTTATTTTAAAATTTATATTTTTCTAGAAATTTAAATTAAAAGAAAATGATTTAAAAAAAATTAAACTTTGGTGGTAATTTATATACAAAATAATTTTTTTTTAGATTTTTAATAACTTTAACATAATAATTTTTTAGCTTCCTAATTACTATTAGAAGTTTTTAACAAACTTCAATCAAATTACTTAGCCACTCAACAAGCTTATAAGTAAAGGCCAAATGTAGACTTTAAATCATGAGCAAAAAAATGACATATTTTTAAAATTAAAACAATGGTTGGATTGAATTCATATGCTTTGACATCTTAATGTTTTCAAATCATTTGAGTTGTACACATATTAGATTGTTGTGAAATTGAGTTATATTGATATAAAAAGATAATTCAAAAAAAGATTATAATTACTTATGCCTTTAAGAGTAAAATCTTTCAATCCAATTACTCATTTGATAATGGAGAGACATTGACTATACTTTAGGCCATTGATCACTTAAGAACTTTTTATAGAGCCATATTTTTACATTGGTAATAAAATATTTATCTTTAAAGTGATTTATAGAATTAAACTAGCTTATTTATAAGCTTGTTAGAAAGACGTTATTGCTTTAAAAATTTGACTTTGAGGTTGTTTATTAACTTAGAATCACTAACTTGAATGCATTTGGTCTCTCATATAAATCTATTTCTTGTTAGATATTTAATGTCATTTGAGATTTTGTAAACGATTATTATATTTTTATCAAAAGAAATTCTAAAAATTACATCTATTTACATGTTTAACTTGTAAAGATAAATTTAAGTAGATCAAAGAAGCTAAAATAATATTTTAAGCTATAAATATAGTTTTTATTATAATATCAATCTTATATCAAGTTAATTTTTTTAAGCCATTTTTTATGGATACAAATGCATCAAAGTTTTTTTTGAATGCAATATTATCACATTTGAGATTAAATGACAAAATTCATCTTATAGCTCTTTATTCAAAAAAATACATATTATTCAAGATTAATTATGAAATCATCAATAAATTTTTTTTTACAATTATGAATTCATTTCAAGAATATTTTCATTATTTAAAAGGTCCTTCTAGTTTAATAATAATTTATACTAATTACAAGAATTTTAAATATTTTATGTCAATACATATTTTAAACCATTTCCAAATCCATTGGAGCATATCTTTGTCTAGATTTTAATTCAATATTATTTATTGGCCAAGAAAAAAACAAGGATTTTAAAATATCTTATTTAGATGCTCTTATTTTATGTCAAAAAAATTAAAATAATATATAACTAATAATAAATAATTTATTTCATATTAAAAAATATTATCTTTAACTATGTAATTAATAATAATAATTGATTCATCATTTTAAAGTTAAATTTATTTAAGTATGTTCTCAAATTTTCTTATATATGAAATTTAAAATAATTCTTTTAAGTCTTATGACACTTCTAAGTTTGAATTCAAGTACAATCTTTTTCATTTCAAAAGATTCTTATATATTTTTAAAGATGAAGTATAATTATATGTTGAGGATATGAATTTCAAAAAATCAGAAGATCAATAAATTCTTGTCACTCAAATTGATTAGAAAATAATTCAAAGATGGTATAATATTAAACTAGAATTACTATTGCTAATGACAAGAAGACTAAAAAGTCTTGAAACAAGACGAAAGATTAAAAATGAATTGACAAGAGTAAAAAAGGTTGCACTTTTGCCTCCACATATACTATCTAACTTGGAATTATGTAGCAATATTCTATAGGACCTTCAACATATGTCTAATTTATGAGATATGTATTTTAACTTGTAAAGCAAGTTTCTTATATATATGCTACATTACTAGCTTGTACTATAGCTATGTATACGTGCGACACATGGCTAACTTGTAGGTAAAGTTTTTAATCCACTAATTAGCTATAAATAAGTATAAAGTCAAATATGTATCTATGAAGCTTCTAAGAAGGTTTTCCATAAAATAATACTAAATCTACCTACATTTATCTTCTACCTAGTATTTCTTATCTAAATGAATATATGTGTTAGTAATATTATCTCCTCTTCTAGGAACAAATTCTATAAGGAGTGGTCATCATATGTTGAGGATGTTTAAGTATCAAGGACATGAATCTCGAGGAAAGAAAATCCTTAATACAATCATATATCATTGAAACGAGCTAAAAAGTCATTCAAAGATGATATAATATTAAATTAGAATGGCTATTTCCAAAAACAAGAAGATTAAAAAGTCCTGGAATAAGACTAAGGAATAGAAAGGCATTGGCAAGAGTGAAGAAGGCTTCAATCTTGCCTCCATATATACACTTAATTAGGAACTATGTGGCTATATCCTATAGGACCTCTAAAACATATTGATTTTATAAGATACATATCTTAACTTGTAAGTCAAGTTTTTTATATGTGTGCCATATAGTTAACTTGTTTTATAAGCTAACAATACATGATTAATTTGTTGACAAAGTTTTTAATCTATCAATCAACTACAAGCACATGTAAAATCAAATAATATTTATAAAGCTTTTAGGAAGCTTCTTTAAAAGATCTTATGAAATTAATCTACTTTTATCTACTTTTACATATTCCTACCTAATCATATAAGTATTTACTGAAATACCTATGTATATTTGTGACATTATCCCCTCTTCTAAGGACGAGTTCCACGAAGAGTGGTCTTCATATATTGAGGAAATTTAAGATGTGGCAAATTGTATTTGCCACATACTCCAATCTTTCTTCTCTTTGAAGATAGTTGATAGGTCCTCTCAATCATTCATAGTATCTCAATAAGGACAAAAAGATCACCCTATTATTTGGTCATTATTGAGGCCTTCGTAACTTCTTTCAAATAAAATATTTGGAATACCATCAGGAGTTGTTCCTACCTCTAATAAAATCACAAAATATTGGAAGTCTCTTCTAATGTCATGATACCAAACATATTGTATCTTCCATCTATTCAAGGAAAGACATGTCATTCTTGAAGATCTTCATCTTGATTTCATCATCTTGAAGGTTGTGACAATTGTAATGTTTTATCTAGTAAGTCTATAAATCAAACTCTTGAGTTGAATGTGTTGGTTGTTGGTTCTCCATCTCTTTAATTATACAAAAGCTACAAAAAAGGATAAAAAATAAAGTGTTATCTTCCTTTGATCTTGTTTCTTTTAAAGTAAAGATTTACTATTCTTTATTTTATTTTTGATAAATGTCGTTGATGAAAGGCTTCAACCCTCTTTGTTGCATTTACAAGATTCTTTGATGGCTTTCATGCGCATCCACAAATATCATATTCATGCCAATGAACAAGATATTCCAACCTATTTTGGTGCCGCCTTAAGTCTAAGACTTCTTCCACCTCAAATTCTTCATTATTATGAATTTTTATAAGAAGAGGTGGTATTTGTCTTCTTCCCAAGATATTCACTATCTTATATGGTTCAAAAAATGTATATGAAATATAAAATGGATCTTCATAGACTCCGATAGATGTAATCGATAAGCAATAAGATTGATTTATTCACAAATAATAAAAAGTTCTAACCTATGACTGTCCAATCTATCACAAGGGTGTTAGGGACATAGTCCTTAGAACCTTCTAGAGACAAGTTTCTAGAACCTTCTAGTGTCAAGTTTCTAGAACCTTCTAGAAGCAAGTCTCTGGAACCTTCTAGAAGCTTTTTAGTTAGTAGAAGATATTAGAGACATAGTCCTTAGAACCTTCTAGAGATAAGTTTCTAGAACCTTCTAGAAGCAAGTCTCTGGAACCTTCTAAAAGTTTCTTAATTGGTAGAAGTTGCTTGAAAAGCTTCCTAAATAGAAGTATATATTGGAATCGAGGCTGAAGAGTTCTTCAATCTCGATAACACATCTCTTGGAGCTCTAGTTCACCTCTCTGGTGTTGTTCTTGTATTCATCTGATTAATCTAGTTCTTGCCAGTTCTTCTTGAACTTCTTGTTAGATCTCGAGTCTGTATTTCTGTGTCCATGACAGTTTCTCAAGACTTCACTCACCTCAGATATCAGAGTTAGTTTCTTCCTCGTTAGAATGTGGATTACCCCTCTGCTTGGAAGTGTACTA